ATCATGTAGACTGGTCACTTCCCTTTGCATTTATCAGTTCAACTACTTCTATGGAGCCAGTTACGTCAACTGATGCTGTAGGAATTTAATGTTCCATGCTCACCAACACCTCCCAGCGTGGTTAATTATAGGCGTAGTAAAGACGATTAACAGCTCCATATTATCACATCTAGTTGAAGTGAACCATAAAGAGGATATGAATGAATCGTCTTCCATTATATACTAGGTTCGGATCAACCTGTCAAAAGTACTTGGTTCAGGATCCTTCAAACTGCAGAATCAGTAGCAATCAGGATCAAATAACCCGATTGGTATGTTCAAAAATGCAAGTTTTACCTCTACAACTATCATGGCCCTATAAGGGACCTACAAATTCCTTAGCATCCTGCCTCAGATAATCTAATTTCATGCTGTAGATACTCCTTCTTCCCTATGATGTGAAATAGTTTTGACAAATTCTCTTCACCTATTTTGTAAGCATAGTTGTCATAGACACATTCCTATTGTTTGATTAAACTATCACCTGATATCATTAAATATACAGTATTATCGTTTATTATTATTTTCCCCTTGGGTTCCTGGTGGAACATACAGATTCAGTAGCACATCGCCATTTCATTCTCTTCTCTCCAGTCTTCCAAACCTGGCTCCACCACTGCCAATAACCTTTCATTTATTCCTCACACAATCTCCTCCATGTCACTCTCACTTCGGACGCCCAACTCGTCATTTCCCATTCCGATTCCACTTGACGGCCTTGTCTGGCACGTGATGTCCCCGAATGGTCCTCTCAGTGTATATCCAATCCAATCTATCTCCACTTTATTCTACTCCATATATGTTGGGTGATAGCTTCTTGCTTCGTTGGTTGGTTCGTTGTCAGGCCACACTTCCTCCTGGCTTTTTCTTCCTGGTCTTCTGATATGATCTTCAGTACCGAGTGTGCGTAGGCAGCAGCTGTTGATGAATGTCTGTAGTGTATTAGAAATGCATTTCGTAAGGCGCCAAGTCTCTCAACCATCACATAGAAGCACTGACTTATCTGACTGATATTAGTGTTGAAAATCCGGATGTTGTTCACGCTTTATGCTGAGTGCAGTACAGTGCAGTGGAGTGCAGTACAGTGGAGTGCAGTGCAGCGCAGTGCAGTAGATCCGCACACTGATTTCAGATTAGTGCAGGAAGGTCTGTTGTGCTGTCTTTCCGATGCTGGATTTGACGTCGTCATCTGTGCCCGTGCCACCTGTAGTTGAAATGATGGCGCCTGAGTAGATAGGTAGGTGAAAGAGACAACTTCCTTCACATTTCTCCCGTTGACGGTGATTGGTGCTTGTTGTTGGTTGGGTATCTTCATTACCTCTGTCTTCTTCTTTACGTTCACCTGAAGGAAGTCCCGTCTTCGCTGCCCTTTCTGTTCTGCCAACTTGTTCGTTTTCACCTGTACATCTTCGAGTTTGTTCGAGACAAGACATTGGACATAAGTCATTATTGGCGAAATCCAAATCTTCTTTTGGGGTCTTTTCATCGGTCAAACAGCGTATGTCCATCTTCTGGCTCCTTGCAGTTGTTTGTTGCATGACCCAGTCCAGTCGAGTGGACTACAATCAGGAAGATGATCGGTGATAGTAGGTGTGAGTAATCGAGATAGCTACCTGACCAGTCTTTGTTGTTCAGCACTAATAGATGTAGTCACTAAATTAATTGACTTGTGGCACTGCACTATATTTCCATGTTTCATATTAGGAATTATTCAGTAGGACAGTGTGAGGCTAGGTCACGGGCTTGTTAGCATGCATTACTAAGATGTATCTGTAATCGTCGAGGAATTCATATCTCTCTGGAATTTAGGACCTGCGCTAGTCAGTGTTGAAGTTAGAAGGTATTACATCAATAAACTGTTCAGTAGGTTTGTGGGACTGAATGATTGATTCCAAGTTGGTATTCATCACGAACTGACATCAACTAGACAACCATTGAAAACCTCAGAGCACTGGACAGCTGCTTCGTCCTAGCATTGGACTTCTCAGCAGTGCGCACTCATGATCCTGGCACGGGTCGAACCCAGGAGCTTACAGTTCTATGGCCACCACGTTACCACTGAACCCCCCCCCCCTTGGGTTAAAGTCCAATGGTTTATATTTTTCTACTTTTTTCAGTTCGTAATACAATGCGATCTCCACTTAATTCTATCGTAGGATATTTGTTCCCACATCCAACCTGCTTTATTCCACCGTTAATCCCTTTTCATTAGAACTTTGGGTACCTCATCTCGAAGCTAGTTAGTCACTGATGAGTTTGTGCCGTAACAGTTTACAATTACTTCAACAGCATAAAAGAAACGTGATTAAACTGAAAAGAAAAACTTAAAATTATACCCATCAGATTAGTTCTCAAAACAATTCACTAATGAAATTAGAGTTTTACATAAATTCGAAGCATGGAACACTCACTAGATTAAGAGTCAGATATGTTGAATCTAAAGGAATTCAGTGATTTGGAATTGAAGGTGAAGTGAAAACCTAGGCAGCAGCAGACTCCAGGTTGCCATCCCAACCCTCAAGAAACTGAACTGGTAGACCATACTGTTAACCATGTCTGAACTGTACTTCAATCACTGAGGGTTTCATTTGGATTTTTTATGAGTGTATGCTAAATAACAGTCCACAATTAACATTATACACTCAACATTCACCACTTCATCGATTAACTTTCCTTTTCGCTTAACACCGCTACTTCGCCGTTGCTCATACGGTGACTTCATGATACGTGAGTAATGTAATGAAGACACCTGTGATCGAAAGCCTATATCTTCATTTTTTCTGCTTTCAGAGGCCACTTTTCATAGCCATATAATAAATCAGAGCGTCCTTTAATAGGTTGTCGGATATCTCACTGGCATCAGAGATGATGCAAGTTGGTGGTTACCAAACGTACAGTTCGAATTCAAGCTCAGATTTCGTCAGCAACTAGTCGGTTCCGGCTGATACAGTTGAACAAATAAGTAAAGCGATCAATGCATTCTACCACTTCATTCTTTGTACTTAAACCAGAAGTCAGTGCAGATTAGTCCTGAGGCATTATCTTGAATTCGGCAGGTGTGAAACACACGCCAAACACAATCAGATTTTTGTTGAAGGTGTTCAGAAGATTTCGAACTTTGTTATCTATTTGTCGAACAGGACAATCGTGTCTGTATAATGTAAGTCAACCAAGTCCCCTCCAGGGAGTTGGATATATCAATCAATATATCTATAAGGAGGTTGGATAGGAACGGTGATAGCGGGCATTCTAATCGCACACTACGGAACTAAGGATCTTGGATAGGACGTTAGTTAAACTGATTTTCATATGGCTGTCACAAAGAGACTTCTCTCCTTTCTTACATACTGAAATGGTCAGCCATCTAGAACAGTTTGAAGGGTCTGCAGCTGATTCCTATACACTAACTAGATTACACCTTCATTACTCTAATCAGCAGTTTCATACGTCTTTCCTTAAAAAACATTTGCTTGTAGGTTACCAACTGTTTTTATCGCTGTTTCTACGGCAGACTTCATTAGGAAAAGGATTGCTACCAGGTCAAGGTGAATGCTTCGCTAACTTCTACCAAAATGCATACCTAACATTTACATCTGCTAGTCACATATTATAGAGGTTTTGCTGTTATGTTTCCTGTGTTCATAAAGGTACCAACGTGCACGAGCCTAAAATAACGCAATCGCTCACCGATGACTGAGAGAGATAGGATCTATGTGTGTCGACCACTGTTTTTATGTCAACAGACATCAGGTGAGACACTGTCTGTTCACATCGTTGAAGTTAGTGCTGGTCAGAAACAATATTAGTTAACAGAGAAAAATTGCAATAGGTGATTACAATTGACAGTTTCTCGGCATGAGACGCCTTAGATACCTGTAAGATGCCTTTACTATTAGCTCAGCTTTTCTACTCGAGTGTTAAATCAGCCAGTTACTATGACCATATCTGAATGCGTTTCGCTTTATGTAGCAAAACTGGCAGCTTTCAGCAGAACTCAACCGTTGTATCATCGAAACTGAAGTATGCAAGAGCGTAGGCGGAGACTTAGGACAGTTATCAGCCAGTATTACGATACTTCCCACATCTTACAGATCCATTCATTCTGATGGCATACGAAGGGGTGATGACTGTAACCAGTTGAGAAGCACTCTTTCTGCTCCACAACTCAATGCATCACCACTGAATCTTGCAGACTGACCAAATTACGCATGTGAGGTCAAGTTAAGGACCACATTCGGGTCCTGTATACAGTTCTGAGGAAGACAGCATAAATCCATGACTTGAGATTCCAGAATTTCGGTAAGTAACACGTGTATCCCGAACATTGAAAGCTCCAGTGTGTAACTGGCAGCATAGTTTTAGGTGACCAACAATAGAATTTAACTGGTTTGGGATAGTTAACAATAATGGGAGAATGAGAGGTTGAGGAATTCACAAAATGCTTATTGTTGGCAACAAAAAGTGAAGCCAGGGGAGGGTTGAGTTGACTTTCATATACTTCCGACAGTATGTACTTGGTTGATATATCTCAACCGTCAACGTCGTAGAAGTTATTTTAACAAAGTATCTGAAAGAGAAAATAGATTAGTTTTGTATGAACCAAGAGCTCACAGAATATGTACTTGAGGCTGGTCATACACGACATTGTTAAGAGTTTTCAATTGGAGTCTGACTGCACCACCGCAGATGAAAAAAAAAAATCCACATCTCCAGGCATTAACATTATGATAGCAACTGATTTTCAAGAGACTATGATAGCGTGGTAGAACCTTATGGAACATTTTGTTTAACCAGTGTAGCTCGTTTCGTCATTGCGCTAAGTAAACTCGACCAGCTCAAGGTAGCAGCTGTCGGTTGAAATTTTGTTACTAAACTTGCTGTCATAATAAGCATAAAAATTCATTTTGGTAACTGAATATTTCAAGCCATCATCCTCCTTCTCATCATCATCAGAAACATACCTTGAGATTTTGATATTTTTCGTCTGGATGACAATGATGAAAGAGAATAGCATGACTGTGATGTAGTCAACACTTCTGGTTGTTGATCAGACATTTTATGGTCATCAGTAAAGTTTATATAAGCTTGATCTGATGTATAGAATGGTTCATATTCTTGTGATCCAGTAGCATTAGTTAAATCAGGATAGGCTATAATATGAAATGGTATTAAACTTTTTACGAATTCAGCAAAATTTAAATATTCCATAGTATCAGTGGCATTGATATTGTTTGGATCCAAAGTGTCTGCAGTTTGCTTCATTCCAGTATCAATATGATCAGATATTGTGGAATCTATACGATGATTAGATGCTGGAAATAAGTTGTGGAATAAAAAGGAATGATTACTACAACTGGAGTGAATTCAGTATGCTATAGAATCTGTAAATTAAGTTACTAACCAATGTTATAAATAATATGAAGCAAGTAATATATGAATAATACATTGTGGCTAGCAGTGGAATCTAGCATGCATATTTCGTCCTATTTGGGACTCGTCAGCTGGATGTATTTGTTGTACTGACGGTATGACATAAAAACAATTATACTACAAGTAATATCTGGTCTACTGATCGGTTATCAGTGTTATATGATTAGACAGAACCAGAAGAAAACATTATTTGATCAATTTGTTTATTTGATTTATCGCACACAGTAGGTGATCTAGCATTATTTACTTGATAACAACATTTCAACCATAAAGTATTACCGCTCACCATCATATCAAAGTGTAATCACACAACATTCAAAATCTGCTTTTTATACTCCTGTCACCTTATATGAGCTGTTTTGATTGGTAGTAAAATTTTCGATTTCTCTGGTATATATAGGTGTTATGTGTTGATTCGCTGAACAAAGATTCAGTAATCAACCCCCCCTCTCGATTCACCTAATTACATTGGACTTAAGTACTGTGGTTTTATCACGCTCTGTGGTGTGTGGTTGTGTGTTAATATGCATGCATAGCAATAACGAAGTTTTCATGATATTATTAATCTCATTTAGGTCTGTTATCCTATATTTAGCTAAATTACTATGTTCGACTATTCTGACCGACCGACTAGTTTGACCTGCATACTTGACCTAACGTCAAGTCATTACATGGAATTTGACAGATTAGATTATTTTGCTTAATTGGTTCCATCGAATCCTTAAGCCAACCGACAAAACTCTCTCTCTCCGAATCAGTTTGTAAGTTTAAATGCCACCCTAACTCCAGCTCTGTTGAGGATTCTACGTAAAGTTCCTGAGGTACTCTCCTTATAGGGTAACACAATGTAGGCCGTGAACTCCTTTCTACTTGTGTTGTCGCTATTAGTCACACTCGTGTGACTGTTATTTTGTTCGTTCCTTGTGTGTTTTCGCTCGAATCTCTGAATAAACTGTGGTGGATAATTACTAACTATTAGCGCTTCTCTTATTTGCTTCACTTCCTTGTTTAGATCCTTGCATTGACTAGTCAGTTTTCTAGCTCTATCACTTAGACATTTGACTAAACCTGCCTTAACTGACTGACAACATTGGATGAGATGACTTCAAGTGTGGATACCTATCTGTTGGAATGTGTTAGTTTTCTGTCGACGGTAGTATCCAAACCACCGTCTCTCCTTCGTTTTATTCTACAATCCAACGTAAGTAATTCTCCTCGTTCATTTTCTACCTATTGCGATACAGGCATTAAGTAACACACAACGAGATAATAGGATGGGTGGGATATAGGCACTGTACTTAGGCCCAATATAATTAGGTGGAGAGAGAGAGAGAGAGACAGAGATTGATTACTGGGTCTGTCTTCATGGAATCAACATCCAACACACATGTAATAAAGATGATGACGCAACAGCTATACGAGAGATGTGGACAATTTTACTAGCAATAGCAACAAAGAATATGAAGTGGGTGACAGGAGTATAAAAATCAAATGTCGAAGGTTGTGTGATTACACATTGATATGATAATGAGCAGTAATGATTTACGCTGGAAACGTCATCAAGTAAATGATGCTAGATCACTGCGTGTCCCGTATATCAAATAAACAAATCAAATATGGAATTGGGTTTTCTGTGTAGCCTGAGTAGTTAAGATTAGTGATTACAAGTTCACACTTGTTATTCTTACTTGCCAGTGAATTCATTCACTAAACATTTGATGTACCATTTGACTACAGATTTGTTTATTTGTTTGTTAGGTTTGTTTATTTGATGTACAGGACACACAGTGATACAGTGTATCACCTATTTACTTGATGACATTTCGAGTATAAATAACGTATTGCTCATAATCATATCTCAATGTGTAATCACACAACCTTCGACATTTGATTTTTATACTCCTGTCACCCACTTCATATTCTTTGTTGCTATTGCTAGTAAAATTGTCCACATCTCTCGTATAGCTGTTGCGTCATCATCTTTATTACATGTGTGTTGGATGTTGATTCCATGAAGACAGACCCAGTAATCAATCTCTGTCTCTCTCTCTCTCTCTCCACCTAATTATATTGGGCCTAAGTACAGTGCCTATATCCCACCCATCCTATTATCTCGTTGTGTGTTACTTAATGCCTGTATCGCAATAGGTAGAAAATGAACGAGGAGAATTACTTACGTTGGATTGTAGAATAAAACGAAGGAGAGACGGTGGTTTGGATACTACCGTCGACAGAAAACTAACACATTCCAACAGATAGGTATCCACACTTGAAGTCATCTCATCCAATGTTGTCAGTCAGTTAAGGCAGGTTTAGTCAAATGTCTAAGTGATAGAGCTAGAAAACTGACTAGTCAATGCAAGGATCTAAACAAGGAAGTGAAGCAAATAAGAGAAGCGCTAATAGTTAGTAATTATCCACCACAGTTTATTCAGAGATTCGAGCGAAAACACACAAGGAACGAACAAAATAACAGTCACACGAGTGTGACTAATAGCGACAACACAAGTAGAAAGGAGTTCACGGCCTACATTGTGTTACCCTATAAGGAGAGTACCTCAGGAACTTTACGTAGAATCCTCAACAGAGCTGGAGTTAGGGTGGCATTTAAACTTACAAACTGATTCGGAGAGAGAGAGTTTTGTCGGTTGGCTTAAGGATTCGATGGAACCAATTAAGCAAAATAATCTAATCTGTCAAATTCCAGGTAATGACTACGATATCAAGTAGAACGTAGGTAAAACTAGCCGGTCAGGGTCAGTTAGAATAGCCGAAAATACGAATTTAGCCAAATATGGAATGACAGACCAGAATAAAATCAATAATCTGAGAAGAACTCGGCTATTGTAATGCACGCATTAACACACAACTAAAGAATAAGATGGGTGGGATGGTACCACCACTTAATTTTGTGGACAGAGAGAGTCTTTGTTCATTGAATCACCATGCAACACATATTATAGAGATGATGACGCAACACGCATATATACCAGAGAAATGGAAAATTCTACTGCCAATAAAAACAACTTATATAGGGTGATATAACTATGAAGATCAAATGTCGAAAGTTATGTGATCACACTGATATGATTTGACTATCTAAGATAGACGCCGTTTGGTAGACTAGTATTTGTACTGGATGATGATTGATAGTGAGATGAAAATATGAATTGCGGCCGGATTCGAACCAGAGACCACCCAGTACAAATACTAGTCTGCCAAACTATGGCTATCTTACATAATCAAATCATAATCATTATGATGCTCTCCCTCTCTGATTCTGTTAGATTTCGATTGGGATGAGAAGTTCCGACTAGGCAGTTAGCGTGAATACGATCAAGCAGTAGTAACGTGTCACGGATTCCCATGGTAGTCGGGTAAAACCTCTTGGTGATTGAAGTGAAAACAATTTCTGGTCAGCAGTCGAATTTCATAGCTCAGTTGGCAGAGCACTGGGCCGGCAACCCCATGGTCGCTGGTTCAAATCCGGCCGCGGTCCAGATTTTCATCTCATCTTCAATCATCACCCAGTACATTGATATGATTAGGAGCAATAATCGTTTATGATTGAAATGTTGTCATCAAGTAGATAATACTATATCACTGTGTGTTATAAATGAAATAAACAAATGTAACAAATCCTATTACAATGTCCAAGTTTTACACCTATATTAATGATTTGATCAAACCCAGTCTAGTGTTGATTATTATAAGTCATGTGGGTGTACTTTTAATTCGAAGAAAACTGATACTCTTTCAGAGATTTCCAGCTCATCTGATGAAGGAGGATGTTATAACTTAATCATTCATGCCATAGTTTTGGGTTGAATACGTAAATTTTTTTGATGAGTTTATTAGTATAAGGGTTTTTATATGATACCGTCGTTGATTGGGCAGAATTGATCGGTCTCTATTGGCATATGGGCTCCTGTGCGGATGGCTCGATATTGCCAGTAATCTGATTACGTTAAGGATGGTGTAGTGGATAACGCGCTGGCGTTTGAAGCGATCGCTCCCGAGACCGAATCCCGGTGGGGACAATATCACTCACTGGGAAGCAGGTACATCCAGCTGACGAGTCCCAAATAGGACGAAATGCGCATCCTGAATTCCACTGCTAGCCACGAACCATCCTTAATTGGTGAGTTTGTAAACTTTTATCGGTTCAAGCGGCTGGGATATACATCAAGTCACCCTCGTTACTGTCTACTTGATTGTACAATATTATTAACTGAATTAGGTTCGAGTTGGAAAAAGGTTGAAGGTTGCTAGAGTGAAAAATGACATGAGACTATAAGGGTTTTGAGCAGCATAGAGGAATGTTGACTTTCGGGTTGGAATCCACATGATAGGCGAAATCGATGTTTGGAGACTCTAGATTATACGGCTGAAAGTCAATATCAGCAACCCATATGAATTTACACATTATCTTCATCTTAGTAATCATATTACATTTCGTTTATGAATGACTTCATACTACTTTGGATTCGTTTATCCTCACTTCTTTTACTTTCATATTGCTACCTTGTATGTTGATCTGTTGATATGACGTGTGACAACTTAAACCATTATATAATATTACTTGATTCCACATTGATTTTGACTATCTGATGACTTTTTACAAAGATCAATCAGTCAGTCAGTAATTAAGCTAGCCAAGATAAACGTAGGACCTAGCATTACTGTATATCAGTAAAGTATGCTGTGAAGTAACCTCCATAACCAAATCAGAAAACCGTCAGTCAAGGGTTAGTCAGATTGTACAACTTTCTCTGGTAGATGATATTTAAACTCCATGACATAGTAACTCAATGTATAACTTGCTAAGCCTGATATTCGATAAATCAAAAAAGAATCTTTGCTGAATTTTTGTGTCATGACAACACAATATCAAAGTAATGATGGATAGTGGCTAGTAGTGGAATCCAGGATGCGCATCTCGTCCTATTTGGGACTCATCAGCTGGATGTATTTGGCTCCAAGTGAGTGATATTGTTCCTACCAAGATTCGGGCTCGGGAGCGATCGCTTCATACTCTAGAGCGTTATCCACAACACCACCGAGCCACGATAGCCTTTTCTTGTTTGATGGGTATAGTCTTAGTATAATTGCTTGTATTATACCGTCATTGATTGGACCAAGTACAAGCAATTATATAATATCAAAGTTTAGAGAACGCTACACCATCATCATTATTATTTTCTCTATTCCTGAAAATTGATAGAATATTTTGACTACAAGGAGTGGTCACTGGAGGCCAATCCACACCATTTTTTCTAGTCTTAAGTGTTGATCAAAATCTACTGGTCATTTTTGTAGTGTGGTTACCAGGCTAGGAGACTCTCATTTGTGATGCCAGTTGGATGGAGGGAATCAGCAGAACATCAGTTACATCAAGGTTGCAGATACGCCTCTCAGTGACTGATGTTGTTCTTACGGAAACTTGAAGCGAAGAATAATTGCTTCAAACACGCCAGCATTATCCAGTAGATTGTGACATCAAAAAGGACTATCGTATATCCATCGCACAAGCATTGGTTATCGTGAACCAATAACCTGATAGATAACGCTATGGAGTTTGAAGCGACTGGTCGTGGGTTCATTTCTTAGTAAGAACAACAAAACTCACTAGGAGGTAGATGTGTCCAGCTGACGAGTCGCAAGTAGGATGAAACGTGTGTACTGGGTCCCGCCACTAGCCATCATTATTATCTAAATGATGCATGAGACTTCGTCACTTCTGCACAGGACAAATTTTCCAAAATCAAATGTGAATTCGAAAACGAAATTTTAAAAAACCTTATCACGAAACAGTTAAGAGATGACGCACTTTCATATGGCCAATTGACAGAATTCATATCCAAAGGCTTTTTCACTTGTTCTGTTACCAACCTGTTAGGGATTTCCTGTGAAATATTTCAAAATAAACTTCCCATCAGTCCATAATAATGATGAATAAAAAAAGTTGAGTTGATAAAACTTCAGTGATAATGTTAGACGAGGGTAGTGTAAAAACGGCTAGGAAATGGATGACCTTGAGCAAGTAAGCCAACTCTTTTGTAAAAATATTCTTATACATTAATTCGTATACATTTTAACATTTATGTTTCTGTCACCGTAACTCTTTGACGACGTATCTATGCTGTTCGGCACCCATATACTCGAGATACTATGAAATACAACGGTTAGAGAACATTTCTTTGCTGAAACGGATTGACCACTTATCCATTTTCTGATTGGTTACAGTTCTGACCTAAAAGCATAAAGCTGATTGGTTCTTTTAGAGTGACTTGTTCATTCGCTTATTGCAAGTCGATATGTTTTAACTTGTGACCACTTATAAGTAGACATTATCTGACTAGGCAACGGTAGATTTGAAACAGTATCGTCAAACGTCCAACAAATAAAATTTACTCAGAAATGGTTATCTAGGTTTCATGCCACAGTACCATTTGGCGTTTGTTTTTGGCAATTCGCTGAAAGTGTTCAAGAAATTGCAGCATCACGCTGAGATGAAAAAAAAGTGTCACGATGTTTATGAACCGTAAAAATTTAACAACAGATATTTTACTGGAGAGGAAAATTTAATTGTAATAAAGTTGAAGAGTGGCGCGTACCCAACGAGGACATTAGATGATGGTGGTTTTGTATGACAAATTGATAGAAGTAGCAAAATATAGACCATTTAATTCCAACCAAGTAGCTGGATAATATCACTTTCACAGTGAGATCTACTGTTCAGGACAATATCGCTTGGGAGGGTGTTGGGACGCACAGATACGAAGTCAGTAGCAAACTAGAAAGAAACAACCATCAAATGCTCCCAGGTTTTCTGGGTCATTTTCCAACCAACATCAATTTTATTACAAGATTTACTTTCAAATCCCAGCAAACAAAGAAATGAACTAAGATAATAGGTTTTTGAATCAGTATTCAACATCACAGCTATTAGTAACGTCGATACTGAATTCACAATCTCCACGTAGTTAGTAAATTATTCATTCAGTCTGCTGTACATCAGTTGATCCAAATCAACTAGTCAGATTTCGTTATCTCACCTGGATTTGTCAAGACACCTGTTATGGGTTCGAGGCGCTAATGGTATATGTATATATATTCCAGGACGAATATAATACGCGCGCTTAGTTGACAGCTAACTTGGTACGCAAGAGAGACTGACTGCAACCCCCGGACGAATAGAGAGAAGACCGAAGCTGGCAGATGAGAGAGTGTATTACTCCGAGAATATAGTATAATAACAATGAATCAGTCCCAAACACGTGAATAAGTATACACATGAAAAATGACCTTGTCCGCAATTGGAGAAATTTGCATAGTAAGAGTTAACCAATCAGCGAATTACATTACAATGGAGGCAGAAAATAGACTATTAGTCATACCGCCAAACGGTATGGGAATGACACGTTAAAATGTTCAGATCAATAACAATGTTTTATGCAAAAATGAGGCATGACAACACCTAAAAGAGAAGTTTGGTGTCCAAAGAGCAAAATATCAATTCAATATTTAAATGATTCCTATCCCGTTAGGTAAACCTGTCGGCGGATGGCGAACCAAGCCTACTGCTCTATGACTCTCCTGACTCACAAGAATACTATCATAAGATACTGTAGTGAGATCAAGTTGAAGTATATACAAATTAAGATTTTTCAGAGCAATGAATAAAACAGAATGTATCCTTATATTGTGTCAAGTACAAGGTTGTGTTCCTAATTTCTAGGCAATTTATAAAGGTTTGGTTGCATCACGAAAAACTTCAAACAAACAAACAAACAAACACTGAATATTCCCATTTTAACATTTAGAAAAAAGACTAATTGAGCCAGCAAAGAAATATATGCCTTTTCAATTAGGTCTTCATCTTCAGCTCTACACCAATATAGAGTTTTACAATTTAATCAAATCAACAATCACGTGGTAGTGTCTTAGAAATATGAAGCAAGCTATTCTTAGGTAGTAAATGGAGTGATTTTTGATAGGTGTTCAGACATCCACAATAAGTGATTACGTAACAATGCGAAAACAAATGAATATTAATATAAACAAGTGGAGCGGGGAGAGGTGTACAAAGTAATACTAGAAGTTATGTCATGTTGAGAGGGTCACGGTAATGAAAGTGGTCGAGTAAACTTCTTTTGAATGTAGAGGTTAGGTTTGTTTGTAAAGGTGGATTGCAATCTCCTCTGCTATGTGAAGTAACCGAGTGTGTAATCCATGACGTAAATTAATTGGAATCTGATGAATGATTTCGAAAGCTTTTCTAGTATCCTTTTGATGCCCCGTGTCAACTAGATGAGGAAGTATGAAGCTCTGAATTGTTCGCATTTGTCCCTTGGTCAACTTATAATGGGTGGTGCTCAGAAATTCAACGATGGAACTGCCTCATTGTACACCCAATGTAACTAGCTCCACAGGAGCAGTTGAATTGATAAATGCACATAGAAGTGGTAGAATCAGGTAGTTTGTCTTTATTTATTGCATCTAGAATCCCGCGGTTGTAGAAGATGAGACATTATATAGCGGCTAGGAAGATTTTAGGCAGGACTCTTTTTATGCTCTATGTGGTGATCTAACTGGTAATATCACACTTGAGTTTTAGCTTCAAGAAGATTTGCTTCTTAGGAGCTGTTGGAGTTCTTGTCTTAACCCTCATGATATTCAAATTGTCTGAGTAGACATTCCTACTAAGCAGATCATGGATGGTGGCATACTCTCCCTTTATAGCATCATCTGAGCAAATAGCTGTGGCACGGTATGCTAAGCATTTCACCAGGTTCCTTTTGTATTGAAGGGGTAAAGCACTAGAGAAGTGCGTGTACTGACATACTGATATTAGTTTTTTATATATACTTCATTTCAGAGTTCCATCTAACCTTACTAAAAGAACACCAAGGAATGGAATGCTGTCATTTTTCTCCTCTTCCATTGTGAAGCTGGTTGCCCAATGAATACTACCAAACTTATTCACAACATCATTCTTATCAATCTCACTTTTGAGAACTATAAAGGTATCCATGTAACGGCAATACAACTCTAAACGGCTAATAGTTTCGTTCAGTGAACCGTTCTCTACTTTTGCTAGAAAAAAAATCTGATAAGAGCGGGCCAAGGGGTGACCCCATAGCTGCGCCATCAGACTACTTGTAGAGATCATTGCTAAAAAGGAATTGTGCCTTCATCGCACACTTCAGAAGTAGTTCTTTCAATGTGGAGACTGGAACACTTATTCCCATGCCGTGCTTCGTGAGTTCGTTGCAAATAAAGTCTACTGTCTCAATTAAAGGAGAGGCGATTGCAATCCACCTTTACAAACAAACCTAACCTCTACATTCAAAAGAAGTTTACTCGACCACTTTCATTACCGTGACCCTCTCAACATGACGTAACTTCTAGTATTACTTTGTACACCTCTCCCCGCTCCACTTGTTTATATTAATATTCATTTGTTTTCGCATTGTCACGTAATCACTTGTTGTGGATGTCTGAACACCTATCAAAAATCACTCCATTTACTACCTAAGAATAGCTTGCTTCATATTTCTAAGACACTACCACGTGATTGTTGATTTGATTAAATTGTAAAACTCTATATTGGTGTAGAGCTGAAGATGAAGACCTAATTGAAAAGGCATATATTTCTTTGCTGGCTCAATCAATCTTTTCCAAACAGAAAACAGTTTTGTAAAAGAATTTTTATGTAGGACAAAGATACATCACTTACTTTAGGCAAATCAAACCATTCGGGAAAGAATTTTAAATGACTTGAAATTAAATCGTCAAATGAATGTTGAAGTGTAGTCGACAGGGTTGCGACATTGTCTTCAACATCGACATCATCATCGTCATTACCCTCTTCCTCCTCTTCGATTGCATCATCTTCACCATAATCAATAGCTTCGAAATCGTCTTCACCACCATCAACATCATCAGTCACTAGCATGCCGAGTAGTCTCGACGATGATAATGACTTATCGCGTACTTTTATCAACTGAGGTGAATTAAGCTTCCTGTCAACAGATTGGGATTTATCTGTTGTTGAACAATTTGGATCCTTCTGATATAGTCGTTGTCGTCGATCATGTTTCACTTTTTCGTCTGATAACTCTTCCTTAGGAATTTGGTCAAATTTATGTAATGATTGACTAGCGTGTGGTGTGTCAGTATGTTCAGTGGAACGATGTGAAAAATATGCATTGCCAATAAATTCATTACATTCTTCATTATGACGAACTGTCTGTGATAGATGTTTTTTCTACAAGAGGATTACAAACATACAAGTAAGCAAAGAAGATAGAGTATAGGTAGAGTATGAAAAATAATTATTTTAATTCAGAAAATTTAAATACAACGAAAAATTAGTTATAAACATACCTATTGAGTCATAAAAGAATAAAGCTTGATAGGAAGCAGCCTAAAATAAAATCAATATTCTAAGAAGTTTTACGAAGGCTGACTGGGGACATCACGCACCAGGCCAGGCACTCGAGTGGAATCCATATGGGAAACGACGAGTTGGGCGTTTGAGGTGAGGGTGACATGGAGGAGATCGTGCGAGGAGGAAATGAGAGCTTATGGGCTGTCGTGGAGCCAGGTTCAAAAGATTTCAGAGAACAGAGCACATTGGAGACGTGCTACTGAAGCCCTGTGTCCCGCTATGGACCCAAGGGACAAATAATAACAGTAGTAACAATAATAATAATAATAATAATAATAATAATAATAATAATAATAATAATAATAATAATAATAATAATAATAATAAAGGTTTGCATTTCAACCTTGGGTGCGTGTTATTGTGTAGGCGGGAAAAAGCCTAATTGGACAATTTTGTCCTACAAGTGACCAATCAGAATAAGCCCCCAATTTCTGACCTAGTGGTTTCATATGCAGAGAGAAAGTGTATATAAATTATGTGTTTTTGTCAAATAAAAAGGGAGAAAAGTCGCTATCCGTATCCAGTCGAAGTGTTTCATTGCGTTTGTAGAGTGGCCATAAAAATAATATATAGGAATGGAGACTACGTAAGAAATATGACTATGGATGAGCAAATGTGAGTTGGAATCAAGAACCAGAGGATTCGTAACCAAGTGAGTAATCAATGAGCATAGGAATGAGAAATTTTCAACCAAGCGAACCGCCTAAATATACATGTATCAACTCACCTGCTCATGTGAAACTAGGTGCACAGAACGTACCCAGAGATAGATTGTTCATTGTCGACGTTAGCACCTTCCAGTATGGTTCTATGAGGGCCAACGTAAGTCAAATAACAGCTCTGTATTACAGCATTTAGTTGGCAGTGGATATAAAGTCCCAGAAGATTCGTTTGTAATAGTCTATAAAGTACAGCGCAGTTTTCCGAAGGGTATAAGGAAATGTATACTCTGCATTGGTGAGGTTGAAGACCGAATATTGAGTCCAAAAGCTGCTTGTCATTCTCAAGAACTGACATCCATCGAAGAACCATTGAAAGCCTGAGAGCAATGGACAGCTGTCTCAACCTAGTATGGAACTCCTCGACAGTGCTTACTCATGATCTCAACAGGGATCGAGAACAGATCCTTTACGTCTTATGGTAACTACATTGCCATTCAGCTATTGGATCAAAGTTCAGTGACCCACATATTCCCACTCCTAACAATTTCCGATATAGCACAACCTTTATCTGATGCCACTGTTGAGGATTTGTCCTGATATCCGGCTTGCTTCGCCTTATTAGTCATGATTTCTAATTATAATTTCTAAAGATCTAGACTGAAAGCCTGTCGCTGATGAGCACTGACTAGTGGCCGAATGGTAATATGTTTGCTATGAAATGTGAAGGACATGGGTTTCATTTCTGGAGGCATCATAAGTGCGCACTCCTGAAGAGTCCCATTCTAGGACAAAACAGTTGTCCAGCACTCCCAGGTTTTAAATGGTTCTCCAATTGATGCCAGTTCATGATGAGCACTAATTTGAAATCAACCAATTCCCTTAAACTAGAGGAAGTAAGTGAATACAGTCGGACTCTTTGAATTAATGCACTTTTATGTAAGTTTCTATGTTGCTTTATCTGGCTCTCTGTCTAGTGCCTGAAGTACGATTGACTCGTTTTTTCCATACATGTGCGTTCGATTACGTTTTGACTGTACTGATGAGTTCAGCCATGTTAGCATAAAGGCTATTCTTATTATTCATGATTCAAAGTTCAGGATTGTGTTAAACATACTGTAAAATACAGAAAGTGAAGTGAGTGAATGAACTACAATGCGGTGCTACTAACCGTTATTGTAGTCATAATCTTACACAGTTATCTAAGTAAAATACTTTGAACAATTTGATTGGTTAACTCATTTCAGTCAGATAAAGTATTATGGTTGCTTTTACTACAACTCAAGGTCAAACGAGATTTCTTATTTTCTATTTCCTCAACCAATTTATTCGTATACATTGAACTAAGTCTTTTTTGATATATATATCGAATCGTTCATCAAAATCGTACAGTTCTTCATTCTCGACAACATTTTAGCTAATTGCCAAATAATCACGGCAAAGATGAGAAAAGGAGAGAACACACGCAATAACAACCAAAATGACCTTGAACAACCAATGGCACTGCTTGGATGTTGACCAAAAGGACAGTAGTTCAGTTCCGTCCAGATGTTATATTTTTCTAGTTTTGCATAGAGTAAAATTGTATTCGAGAAAGCCTGAAGGTCAGAGTCTGGATGATGGGTAGCTTATGAATTGAATTAGCTTACAGACATTTAGACGAATACATTCATTTGTTGGATGCGTGAATGCATAATAGTCGTTTAGATGTATTATCAAGGTTACAAAACTCTAATTTGTTGTTTCAAGGTCAGCTGGTGAGCTGCTTGTTTTAACCATTGTTCTATATCGTCATCAAGTTTACTACTTTTTTTACGTTTCCATCTGACATTCAGTCATCACCTAGTAACAATACAATACAATATATCAGATTCCTACACTTTGCCATAGTTTTCTGTAATAAAAGCATAACGTTAAGGAATAATGCCCAGTAGTGTTAATCTTTGTATAATGCATCAAAAGAAGTTGGAAAAATTACGGGGCAATGATTGGTTAACAGTGGTACACAACTGCTAGATTTGATTTGTCAACAAGTTCGACCAATACGGTAAGCTTTGAGTGGATTGGTCAATTTTAAAGATATGATAGATCGAAGTAGACAGATTGACTTTTTATATCTGCTGATAAACATAAAATATGCATTAAGGTCATATAATCTACATACTTATCACATTACACTTCATAAGTTGAATTTTCAGTAAGCTTCAGGTTCGATAAGTAGTAAAATAAACAAACACACTCAGATACAAATAATTCGACATACCCACTTCCACTTTATATAGTGTTATATGAGTGAGGGTGATTTACAAGTCCAAACTTAATATTCACTTTTGCTTACCAACTCAGTGTGCCTAAACCTACGGAAAAAAATTAAATGTATACTGAGTAATGACTGAAGGTGAAATGAAAATTTAAACCGCGGCCGGATTCGAACCGGTGACCACCGGCTTTCCTGCCCGCTGCTCAACCAACTGAGCTACTAAATTCTTTATAATGTTGATACGTATTGTTGGAACGAGTATTAATACAAAGAGTCATAAGACTTGTGTCAAGGTTATCATTCCGATTGATGCTTGTTATGATCTCATTCGACAAATAAGTGGATTACTGTTATTATTATTATTATTTGTCCTTTGGAGTCCTAGTGGAAAGTGGGACTTCAGATGCACGTCGCCATTTCATTCTCTTCTCTCCAGACGCGTGATGTCCCCAAAACATCTTCTCAGTGTGTGCCCAATCCAATCCATCTCCACTTTATTCTACTACATATTTGTTGGGCGACAGCTTCTTGCTTCGTTGATTGGTTCGTTGTCAGGCCACACTTCCTCCTGGCTTTTTCTTCCTGGTCTTCTGATATGTTATTTAGTACCGAGTGAGCGTAGGCGGCAGCTGTTGACGAATGTCTGCAGTTTGTTGGAAATGCGTTCCATTGCGCGCCAACTCTTTCAACCATGATATAGAAGCACTGACTTACTTGACTGACATTAGTGTTGAATATCCGGATGCTGTTCACGCTTTATGCTGAATGCAGTTCAGTGCAGCAGATCTCCATACTGATTTCAGATTAGTGTAGGAAGGTCTGTTGTGCTGTCTTTCCGATGCTGGCTTTGGAGTCGTCATCTGTGCCTGTGCCGCCTACAGTTGAAACGACGCTGCCTATGTAGGTAGGTGAAAGAGAAAACTTCGTTTCGATTTCTCCCGTTCGTGTGATTCGTGTTTGTTGTTGTTGTATCTTCATCACCTCTGTCTTCTCTATGTTCACCTAAAAGTTCCGTCTTCGCTGCCCTGCCACTTCTACCAACTTTTTGGTTTTCACCTATACATCTTTGAGCATGTTCGACATCAGACATAAACCATCGTCAGCGAAATGCAAATCTTCTAGGCTCTTTTCATCGGTAAAACAGCGTATGCCAATCTTCTCGCTACTCACAGTTTCTTGAATGATCCAGTCCAATCCAGTCGAGTCGACCACAATCAGGAAGATAATAGGTGATAGTAGGCGGCTACCTTGTTTTACCTGTTAACCTGTCTTCTCTTCAAGGCATCACTGAGCTTTCCATTGTGAATCACTCGGCATGTAGCTTTATCATATAGCATAAGCACCTGTTGAATGAGGTTGATAAAGGTTTGTGTCACAAAAACCGTAGGGTTGAAGAAGCTGTCAATTTACTTCTCGGTCGATGCAGTCAAAGGCCATTCAAAGTCAATGGTGTTGAGGTTGAGTTGACTGCCATTCTATGCTCTATTCTATGATGATGCGAAGTGTAGTTTTGCAATTTGATCCGCACATGATTCGCTTTTCCTGAAGCCAGCCAACCAGCCTTTTCCGGTCGTAGTTTTGAATTCAGAGCATTTTTTAGTCTCTCCAGGATGATATGGCTTAATATTTTGCTTGGGGTGGACAATAGGTGGTTTTCTGGCTGCAATTTAAAGTCAGATGTTCAGTTTAGGCAAAAAATATAATGATTCGAAGACAGTGTTTATTATACAGTGGTAAGTAAGTGCTTTCTGCTTCCAGAAAAATGTCTCAGTAATCTATCAGGTATTGAACCGTTACTACACTTATCTTTCACCTATGAATACAGACGAATTGTCTAACAGAATGGTGTTTTTACTTTAAAATGATAAGTATTAAGTTCCACGTTTGATGAGAACGCTGGCTTGTGGATGTAAGTCTATTCAGTAGACCGCCTCCGAGTTATATAGAATGTCATTAATGTTAGCCACAGTGGAACAAAAAAAAATCAATAATTGTATCATTTAGCATAACATTGGAACATTCGCATAAATCCAGCTGATTGATCGGCTCAGATACGGCAAAAACGTGTAACCCGGATATTATGGCTAGTTATAAACAAGGAAATAATTAGTACGCATAGTTACTAATTATATTCATAAGTGTATTATAAGTATGCTTTGATCAGGATTTATTACTCACTCATAACTGTGCTGATTTAACAGTGTCACTTTGGGGAAAATAAAGAAATAAGCATATAGAGTCAAATGGGCCAGTAATGGATACTCAGCTAACTTCATGATTTTATGCTACTTAAATACTTCAGTAGTATATTGATACCAGTTGGATAGAAGTAGTCAACAGGAAGCTATGCTTAACTTCAAATTACGTTTTAGTTAACACGAAGCAACTGATTTCTCCCTCTGAAAGATTAAACCTCACGTAATTCAACGCTTAAATCAAAAACGTTAATTTTCAGGAACACAAAAATATAGTGAAGAAAGAAATTACTTTAATCTGTGAGTTAGTAGTATCACTTGTTTTCAGCAATACAGAATCTCTCTGTTTTATTGATAATCGACAGATGCGTAGACGAGATTGATTATCTTTTGCCAATGACACAGTAGTAGTAGTAGTAGTGGTGCTGGTCCTAGGAGTTGTAACTGGCCTGTTCAGTAGACTTTTCGTTGTATACACCGAATTACCGTCATCCTCTAGAGATTTAATGTCAACTGGATAAATTTCGTGATTTCGTTTATACTGGTAATCATTGATTAGTTTCGTTTGTGATTTAGCTCTTCTAAACTTTGTTACCAATTCTCTACGGTCATTTACTGTTTTCTTATTTACAATTTGGCTATTCAGTGGCTGATTTTGTAATAGTAAATCAGATGTAGTGAATGGTTGATTCAAGGTTAAATCATCATCATCATCATCATCGTGGTGGTGGTGTGTTTGATTCATTGAAAGTTGTTTCAGCTGTTTCCAGTTCCTACTTGATTGAAATGCTTCATTAGAAGATTTTACTTGTAGTTGTGTTGTTATTGTATCTTCTGACCTTGGAAAAAAAGGAAAAAAAAGGAAGAAACAAGAGTGAGATAAACGGTGAACTAGATAGTGCAGGGGAAGGAAATAATGACCTTACGGTATGCAATACATTTATTGAAATATATAGGAGGGGGGGGGGAATTGTTGTAAATGGCTAACCCTTAATAAAAAGAAAAGTACACGACTAAGCCTCTTCTAAAATATTCAGTGCAAAAAACGAGTGAATCTGGTGAAAATGTATCTAAGATTATGCATAAATTCAGCAAGTTGAGAAAGGATGAATTGGAACACTATTCGCTTTGATTTCGAATGCCTAAGCGGTATCTATATAGGATCGAACAGAGAGTTATCCAACTTCATGATAGTCACATTTCAAACCCGGTGTTGGATATTCAGAGCCAGTCAGTTGGAGGCTATGGACCCTCACTTCTCCCTTGCTGAAAGACATCTGCAAGGTATCTCTACAATCATGAGGAAACTGAAGTTCCTTCATTGGTTCGAACCCACACCAATGAATGCTGAATTCCGGCACTTGACCCCTTACAGAATATACCACTGGAAAACTTGATTAGTTAGGAACCACATAAGGAGGTATGTCGATATCTCCAGGCAGCCAGGTCAGAGTGATCTAAACATTAGGTGACTGTTTGACTCCTTTGGGCTTAGCTCATTAGCGGTTTACCCAAACAAATTCACCTCACAGAGAAAGATCAGTTCAGATCACGTGAATCTCGCTAGCTCATATGGATGGACCGGTATGCTTAAAATAGTCTGGTCAGTTTGCAAATGATTTACGAATTCAATGGTCCAGGTTAACATTACTCACGGATGAGTAGTTTTGTCGAATACCGCCCAACTCTTCCGATGGTGTCAACAAGGGTTTTGTTGGAAACAACCCGTCAGCCAAAATTATAAGGTGTGATCTCTGACACAAAAATGTGTCATGAACTAGCGAAATGTACTACTACCAAACAGTTCGAGTAGTTCACACTCACCCAGGTTGATTTATAAATTTTGTATGTCAGCTAGACAGATTAAGATGATATAAATTAAGTCGACTCTATGAGCTAAATTTGCCCATCTAGATACACCATTGATGAGGTCAGCCCCAAATAAGCGAAAAGGGCCGTTTAGTGTTCAGATTATCTGAATCCGTCTAGCTGGCTGGAGAAATTTAAAAATCAACCTGAGTGGTTTCTAACTACTCAAACTGTTCAATAGTAGTATCAGTCGCTAGTTCATGACACCTTTATGTTGGAGAGTATACCTCGTGATCTTGGCTGTAGGGTAGTTTCCAATGGAAACCCTGTTGATACCGCCACAGTTGGATGACAGTTGAAAAATTACTCATCTGTGAGTAATGTTAAGGTGAACGGGATAATACTGACTGTAAATTATTTGCATATTGAACATCCTATGAGATCAATTAGCTATTTGGGCCTCTAGTGACTTCTTACAAGACTGGATTGTATACACGAACTGATCACCAGTAGATGACCGAGTTAACTTTCTACCCATCACTTCCCAGCAGTGATGCAAGTCAAATATTGATTGGTCACTGGAGAGGAACCAATTTCATGTTATCCAGTCTTGAGGGCTGACCAAATCCTGTCCATTGCATTGTAATACGACTTTTAAGCTAGTAGACTCAACATCGCGATGTACTTCGATACGCCTTGTTGATGAATGTTAACAAGCGCGAAACCAACTGATTGTCTCCAACCAACTAACATCCATCAAAGTGAAAGAAGTCACTTAACTGGGTGGCCGTATTTACTATTACTAGCAGTAAAACGTAACAGTTTATGAGCGATACGAACCTAACTCGTAATGAATACAGTGCAAACGGTAATCAGAACGTCAATTATCATAAAAGCAACGAGGTCACCGACGTGCGAAGGTAAGAAAACTGAAGACAAACCGTTGAGATAAAGCTTTTTGCTGTCAACAAGTTAAATAGTTGAGAGTGAAGTTGAATATATACATTTCTGAATGACCTTGACAATAGTAAATCCACATTTAGGTTCAAAGAGGTAACAACCAGTGAGAGTTCAGCCTTCAGAGCAGTGGGAAAACAAAGGCTAACAACTTTGGGAAAATAGCAATAATAAGTTATTTTAAGGTTTAGGCAAACATGCAAAAGTTATGCGAAGTAAGAGGTAGACAGCAGTACCCCAGTATCCTTCACTTCAAGCGCCCGAGGGTTATCCAATAAGCCAGTGGGCACGATAGCCGCCTCTTGTGTAACGAGTATCAGTTGTTATGATACTAGTAATTTCCTATTGCTGTATGGGGGCGAATCTCTCGACCTCTGTTGGCAAATGGGTTCCTCTATGTAGAGGCCTCAATGCAAGTATCATAACAACAACTGATATTGGTTGCATTAAAAGTGATTATCGTGCCCCAGTGGCTTAGTGGATAACTCTCTGGCACTTGAAGCGAAGAGTACTGGGTTGGAGCCTCAATGGGGACAACATTACTCACTGGGGTGCTAACGAGTCCCAAATAGGACGAAACGCGCATCTTGGATTCTTATGCTAGTCATCAAGATTGACATAACATCATGAATAATCAGCATTATCGAGGCGTCCGCACAGGAGCCCATCTGCCAATAGCAGAGATCAAGCAATTTGGCCCTGTATAGCAACAGGATTTTACAAGTATCATAACAATAAATAAGCTGAGATTACACAATCAGTGATTCCTAACTCCAGGTAAAATGTACCGGGACGTTGTAAAGAAAACACGAAGGAATGAAACAGAAGTGACACTTAGTATGGCGATTACAATGTAGATAATAAATGCATCCATTTACAACCACTGATATCAATTCTGAGGCCTATCAGTTAGAGTCTCCAACCGCAGATTTCGGTTGTCACACAGACCTCAACCTATAAGTCTATATTCTCCTTCACATTTCAGGTGAACAGTCAAAGACTTCAGTGACTGATGCCATGTTTTAGTCTGCTCACCTCTGAACGTTTCATAGCCTGAATCTACTCCAGCTAGGATTGTGAAATGGTGTAAACGCTGACTAAACATGCGCATTACATGTCCCACATGCCCCGGTCGATAAAAGTTTACAGCCTCATCAACTGATTAACCTCTTAGCTATATCATGGTCTCGCCAAAGAAGATCTATGCGGCAAAATCAAGGGTGGCGGGGGGCGGTAAATGGAACCCTACTGTACCTATTGAGGATTAGGCACGCGGGTATTATCACTAGCTCTCATGTAATAGGTCTAGTTCATTACATAATGCCCGTAAGTGTATATTGTTGTTGTTGTTGTTGTTGAGTGTATTTCAGAATTTAATATCTCATTTACAAAGTCAAGCTCATTCTGATGAAATGATTATGTAGAAAACATGGTGGATTTCACATTTTTCTTCATATGTGAAATTAGGAAAAGACAATAGCACTTCAAAGTTATCAACAACACAACAATAGGCTCCGTTACACTTCATGTGCCACTGAATAATTGAACAGTATTGCTCAATTAGTGGTTTAACTTTTTTCTTTTTAGAGTAACTAAGCTGTTCGGGTATACTACTATTTGCGCGAAACTCGAAAAAAACTAGTTAAAAATTGAATTTACTTGAGAATGGCTATCCTAGATGCACGTTTCGTCCCATACGATATTCTTCAGTTGGTTTTACTTGCATTCTAGTGAGTAACAGTGTTTCCCATGAAACTCGAAGCCGGTACCTGTCACTTCAAACACCTAGGGGTTATCGACTAGGCCATTGAGACATGAGACCCACCTATTGTACAACTGGTATCAGTTGTCATGCTCTGTAATTACTCACTCTTGTACTAGACAGAATTGATCTACTTTTGTTGGAATGGAGGTTCCTATACGAATGACTAGATATTTAACCGATGAGCGCTTGATTTCAGTCTCAGTAGGCATACCGATTACTTACTGACATACAGATAGATCCAACTGATGAGTATCAGTCCCAAATGAGACGAAATTTTACATCCTAGTGATCACCAAAAAAACCATGACATAATGAATATCCAGGTATTAAAAAAGCATCCGCATAGATCATAGATCAACAAAAATTGAACAATTCGAGCCGGTAGAATAACGAGACGTTAAGAGTATTAATAGACAAATTTTTGATTTGATATGACGATGTATAAAGGAAGAAGTCATCATTGAAGGCAGATAACAAACTTGTAAGTTCTAGATGCCTCCATTAATAGACCAATCGTATTTGAAATGTCTTGTGGCATAATCTGATTTGTAATAGTCACGACATTAATACTCTCATAGAGTATTGAATGAAGGCAAAAACTAACAAGTTGACAGAAGAGGTAGGGCAGGGCAAGGCATTGAAGACGGCACTTCCTTCACGTGAACGTAGAGAAAACAGAGGTGATGAAGATACCCAAACAACGCCACCAACACCATCAACAACAACAAGCTCCAATCACCATCAATAGGAGGAACTTAAAGGAAGTAGCCCTTTCACCTATGTAGGCAACACTATTTCAACTACAGGTGGCACACACACAGACGAGGACGACGTCAAAGCCAGTCAGGATCGGAACAGCATGCAAGACAGGCGTTCATTAGCCTGAAACCAGTGTGGAGATCTTATGAACACCACTCAGCATAAAGCGTGAACAACATCCGGATTTTAAACACCAACGTCATGTCAGTGCTGTTGTGTGATGGCTCAGAGACTTGGCGTGTCACGAAAGCCATTTCCAACAAACAACAGACATTCATCAACAGCTGCCGTCTACGCTCACTCGATACTGAAGCTCAGATGGTCAGAATAATAAGAATGAGCAACAAGGAACTGTGGCTGGCTGGCAACGAACCAACGAAGCAAGAACCTATCTCTCAACAAATATGCAGCAGGAAATGGAGGTGGATTGGGCATGCACTGAGAAAACCATTCGAAGACATCACGTGCAAGGCCAGGCCCTCGAGTGGAACCCAGATGGGAAACAACGAGTTGGGCGTCTCAGGTGAGGGTGACATAGAGGAGATCGTATGAGGAAGAAATGAGAGCTTGTGGGCTGTCGTGGAGCCAGATTCAAAAGATTGCAGAGGAGAGAGTGGAATGGCGACGTGCTACTGAAGCTGTATGTTCCATTAGGAACCCAAAGGACAAATAATAATATAATAATAGAGTGTATTGAATTCGTAAAGGAGACGCTGAAGCATTAGTTTCGAGACTTGTATAAAATAGGGTGATTGATAGTTTATAAAGTTGAGATTATGTAATGATGCCACAGCATTAAAATTCTATCTTATTCAAGTATTACCTTCAAGGGGATGATTATAATTGTAGCCTATATTGACCGACATACTGCATTCGTATCATGTAAAATAGGCTTTCAGTTGGAAATGAAATGATCAAAACAATATCTATCACTCAAAATCTTCAATTCCTTATCTCCACTTTAAACAATTGCAATTTTCCAATATTGATTTATTAACTGTAAAGTTGTATAGCATGAGTCTTTATTTGAGATAAGTTAAGGTGTCAAAAATATTGAGCTGATGATCTCTAACAAGAATGAAACCTAAAATCTCAAAAAGAAGCGAAGACTGAAACGTTATTGAAAATAAAACATTACTTACTGCTTTTCTGAATTCATAGTTGAACTAATATTAGATAGAAAAGAAGTTTGTTGATCCCATTTAGATTTGGCGGTATCTTTCAAAATAAATACAAACAAATGAAGTGTAGTTTATTTTCATCAATTCACTTATTTGAATGATGTTGATTACCAATATAAAACAAGTCTCAACAAGAACACCATTATTCAATGAGATGTATGTATGTCCAGCCGATGAGTGAGGAAGAAATGTGCATCCTAAGCTTCATTGTTAGTTACCGCCAAACGAAAAATATCCTTGTTGAAACAGCCTATTTGCCAACAAAAAAAACCTCGCCTGGTTAACTAGTTCACTAGTTACTAGCCGGTCAAAAGCCCACACAAAGAGGGAAGGTTGGGCATAGGGCTAGCAACCCTACCCCGTAAAACAAATCTAACCGCTAAAGAAACTTAAAAGCACAAACAAAATATAAAAAATAAAAACAAACTTATTCCTCGCTGGAATCGGAGGGGCGAAATGACGCCAGTTGGTGAAAGCCTTCGGGAAGCCAATTGGCCGATGTGTCTTCTCTTCACTCGATGAAAGCGAAAGTTAACGTGGGGACATGGAATGTCCGTACGATGTTTGAACCCAGCAAGGGCTGTCGTGGAACCAGGTTCAAAAGATCTCAGAGAACAGAGGTCACTGGAAACGTGCTACTGAAGCCCTATGTTCCACTAGGAACCCAAGGGACTAATAATAATAATAAAATATGCCAACAAGAAGGAACTGGTTCGATAAAAAATAAGACATCAATGAGAATGTTCAACACTAATGTCAAGTCAGTGCTTTATATGGTTCAGGAACTTGGAGCATTACGAAAAGCACTTCCAACAAACTGTAAACATTCATCAATAGATGCCGCCTACGCTCAATCGATACTGAAGATCAGGCCAAATGAGAAGGCGAGAAAGAATAAGCAACAAGGAACTCTGGTCTGGCAACGAACAAATATGCAGTGGAAGAAAGCGGAGATGGATTGGATTTGGGCATACAATGGGAACACCATTTGGGGACATCACGCGTCAGACCAGGCCCTCGAGTGCAGCCGAAATGGGCAGAGGAGGGTGACAGAGGAGATGGTGTGAGGAAGAAATGAAAGCTTCTGAGTAATTGTGGAGCCAGGTTGAAAAGAATACAGAGAAGAGAGTGAAATGGTGCTGTGCTACTGAACCTCTATGTTCCACTAGGAACCCAAGGGACAAATAATAATAGTAATACTAGAAGAAACTTACATCCAAGTTACCAAGTATGCGGTTGATAATTAAATGTGGATGGATTGGGAACGCTAGCTGTTTTCATTTCATGATAAAAAAAAATCCTCTTTATAATCATGAAGAACCAAACATTATCCATGGTTGGTTTCGTCCCAACCTAGGCTTCTTCAGTCGTATAATGTTATAACATTTTTTAACCTAAGGCGAAAAACCTAACAATTTGAAGATGACGGCATGTTAAATAATAAATGATTTAAGTGTTTTCTACAGTTTGCATCACTTCACTCCTCAAGTGATACCAGTACAGCGAACATTCACACTTGGTTTGTTAGAGAGGTGACATCTCTATGAATTCTAATTTTTGAAGAGTTAACATTTCTATGCAGATGATCAACTTTTCTCCATTTTCTTAGAAAGCTTATATGAATGGAAGGTTAAAGGTCAGTCATATCTTCAATAAAAATAAACGAGACAATACCCGCTAGAATCAAAAAATCATGCGGTCCGTGAAACAACCAATCAGAAATGAATTCGTTATTTGATAATTTTTGGTGGATAAAGGCTTCAGAAATTCTTACCGTTCCCAATAGGCATAACATAATAATACAGAAATATCTAAGATTTAGAACTGTTCGTGAGAAATTGAGAAGTTTCTTATTTGCTACGAAATTATGGTAATGGATATTCGTTAGATGTTAGGAGTTAGAGTTCCACTTCACCTTTTCATCACATTATCTAAATTCATAAAAAGGACTGATTATATAGTAATCATGGGTCGTGGCTATCAGTGCGATCCAGGATGCACGTTTCGTCCTATTTGAGGATCCTCAGCTGAAGGCACTTACCTCCCCCAGTGAGTAATGATGCTCCCGTCGGGATTCGAACTCTGGACCGGTCACTTTAAACACTCCAACCGACGGTTTAATATACGCAGTAATATTAAAAAGGAACTGATTGTTTCAAATAACCTACTTTATTATCGTTTATAATTCATCTGTTATCATAATCAAAAGTACCTATGTCATCAGCACTTTTATCAATATTATGATTATTATTACTATGTAGTGTTTAATTTTCCTCACGGAGTATAGTTTTTCAGGTATCATATATATATACAAACTGAAAATAAGTTCGTTGAAAACAATCTCTTTACTGAAATCTGGTTTTTGATGTTACAATGGGAATTATTAAATAACACGTTATTGGATGACATCATCATCATCATCATTATAAACATAGGACCAGGCATTACTGCGTAACGGTCCGAGTTGCCACACCTCATATCAGCACATCAAGTAAAAAGGTAGTGAGGTGAAGGATGAAGATAAGTGAATGCAGTCAAAAGAAATATAAAGTACGAGAAGAAAGGAAAGAGGAGTGACAAAATAGTGAGATTCGGTATAGCGTTGTTAAGATGACGATAATGTGTGTGGGGATACATCTGCGCCACTGACTTCGGTTCTCAGCCATATCACCTACGGTTAGTCTCCAACCACTGGTTCCTCTTGTCCCACCGACCCCAACCACCTAGTCTGCATCGTCCTACATGGCTTAAACCAACAGTCAGAGACTTCATACATTGGTGCCATGTTTTAGTCTGGCCACCTCGAGCCTTTTTCCAGCCTGGACCCACCTCAGCCAACATTTTGTGACGAGGCAATCGGTGACTAGGCATACGTAGTACGTGTCCCAACCATCTCAGTCGATGAAGGTTCACAACCTCGTCAACTGACTTACCTCTTCTCCCCAAAACTCTACACCTAACTTCTGCATTACTCACATGGTGACACCACGGAATACGTCCTATACTACGAAGGCAACGGTGGTCAAACACCTGAAGCCTTTTTGTATCCTCCACTTTCAATGGCCATGTTTCACAGCCATACAGTAGAACAGAGCGGACTGCTGTGCAGTACACGCGACCCTTAATAGACAAACGAATATCACGGCGGCGCCATAGGTGGCGCAAATTGGCAAAAGCCAATCGAGCCTTTTGTATCCGTGCAGAAATCTCATCGGCAACTAACCCACCGGGGTTGATCCTACTTCCCAGGTAAGTGAAGTGGTCAACACACTCAACCACTTCACTCTCTATTGTTAGCCGCGGTGGGGCACCGCTGAAGACCAGTCCTGGAGCAAAAATTTGCATTTGGGTGGTGAAAATCGCATCCCAAACATTCTCAAATTCCCACTCAAAGTGTTCAGAAGACTCTGCATCTCGTCAGCGTCTTCACCTAACAGGACTATGTCATCTGCATATTCTAGATCTAAAGAAAATTCACCTGTGATCGGGTCAACGTCTGTGTAATTAGGTGACGAGAGGGAAACCTCCATAAAAATATCTATGATAAAATTAAATAAGAATGGGGATAGTGGGCATCCTTGACGGACACCACTTGATGAGTATAGCTCCCTGGACAACTCGCCATAGGCTCTAACATGCCCACAAGTGTTCGAGTAGAGAGCTTTCAATAAGGTGATGTACTTACTAGGCACGCCTTTCAGTGACAGACATTGCCATAAGACTTCTCGATCAACGGAGTCAAATGCCGCCTTCAGGTCGAGAAATACAGCTATTGTCGGGCGTCTGTAAGCATGCCTATGTTCCAGGACCTGGCGCAGTGTGAATATTTGGTCGATACACCCGCGGCCAGGTCTAAAGCCTGCCTGGTTTCCTCGGGCTTGGTGTTCCCGAGCTCCACTCAGGCGTCGGAGAATTATAGAACCTAGGATTTTGGATACTACGTTCGTCAGGCTGATTCCTCTGCGGTTATCACAAGACATCTGAACGCTTAGTATTTCTTGACATCATCATCAAACTTATGATGTAACCAAGATGTGTTTAGACGGATTTCATTTGATTTTCAAATCGAATGATGGGAAATTTCACGGTTTGTTGTTTCAACCTGATCAATATGTAAGAGTTTAATGTTTAAGAATTTGTCCTAGTGCGAAACTGACAGATACAGAGACCAATCGCTAATTATTCGTACTTGTTATATACCCACGAATATGAGACCAAGAAAGAACACAATAGCGTAGTCGGATAGAATAGTATATTTGCAAGGTCGGGCCAAGATACCGATGCGTTCCAACTGACTGGTTAGGGGGTCGATTACGAGCAGTGCAACGTAACACGACTGCGTGCCAAATGGCGTGAATGTCTTCAGCTTAGCGATTCCAGCTAAACTATGAAGGTCAGCATCAATGTTGAACCTCGTCGAACCCCAGGTTATTGATTCTAGAGAAGTGTGTGAAGCTACAAGTGTATGGATTTCAATTTTTAAACAATATCGAAGGGATGTAGTTGTAAACCAAGCCAACAGAGACGTTCAGTGCAAGAGTCGCTCAAGTAACAATACTTTTCGATGATTAAAAACTATCTTGAAACCTTTCGTAATAAGACAAAGGAAATTTTAAGGGAAACTACGAACATTACATTCTAGTTCATCAACGATCAGAGGATCCTATTGTTCCGTTACAGAGATCAGGATGCATTCCTGTTCTCTTTTTGTCAGCCAAGTTGGATAGTGTTCGTGAGTACATTGTATAAACTGGCACATAGTACAGCCAATGTACTCGGCTCCAAAAAAACACACACAGCGACGTGACTCAATGCTTCTGCTTATCCTTTGCATACTGATGAATGAGTTTCACACAGAAGAATATGATCCTAAGATTAGATCCTACTATGTATCAAACCAATGGCTAGTTAACCACCAATACCATTACCATACAATTCATTGGGTCGAAGGTGACCAACATCACGACTTTGTAATAGCTACGGAATCAGTGGAATTCAGACAGCACTGGTAAGCTTGGGGATCCTCAGCAGTGCACACCAGAAACCACATGTAGAAACAAGTCAGAGAATATCAAGCCCTGTCGCTATCAAATTGCTATTAAGTCAAAAGATTGATAGTCAATGGTTCTGGCTTCCTGTTGATTCCCTCTAACCAACCAAGATCCATTAAAGGGCAGTGCCACGATGAGCTTCCTAGCTTGCTGACTAAATTTCAAATGACTGGAAGAATTCAATCAGTACTTAGGACTAGATAATATGAAATTGGTAGCTCTCTAGTGACTAATCAGTATTTTCGATGGAGAAATCAATCCATTCCACAAACTCGGTTGATTTCATGGGTCAAAAACTTACAATAGAACTTTGAGGATTACATCCAGAGGTTTATAGGTAATAAAATGTTGGCGGGAATCAATTGGCTTGAAAATATTTTTAAGTTGGTACTACTCATTATGAACTGAAACCAGTTAGAAAAGCACTTGAAACCTAGGAGCACTGGACAGATGTTTCGTCTTAGTATGGGACTCCCTAGTACAGCGCACCCAGGACCCCACCAGGGTCAAACCAGGACCCAAAATTAATTTGGTGCTCATTGGTGACTAGCTTCGGGAGGTGATAATAAGAAGTTCTGACCAGTAAAGAGAACCAAGTGGATGTGAGGGCAAATAATCAAAGATAACATTGGGCGATGGTTGCACTATGTCGTGAACTGAAACAAGTTGGAAACATGGACCATTAGATTCTGACCCAGGGGCTAAATGGTAACATGCTGGTGGAAGTTGCAAGCTGTGGAACACTGAATTTCCACCAAATCGTTGAGTATCAATGTGTTGGCTGCCAAACTGAAAGGTACTGATCTCAATCGTGAGACCATTAGTGGGTAAGCAGCGATTAGGTGTCCCAAATCAATTTTTGGTACTCGCTAATTCTCACTTCCTCTCAAGCGAGAATGAAATGGTTTCAGGAGATAATTTATGTATTATTATTATTTGTCCTTTAGGTTCCAACTAGAACACAGGGCTTCAGATACACGTCGCCATTTCACTCTATTCTCTCCAGTCTTCTTAACCTGGTTCCACGATTCCCCATAACCTTTCATTTCTTCTTCACCTTCCGACGCTAAAATCGTCCTTTTGCATCTGGGTTCCACTGAAAGGCCTAGGCTGGCGCATGATGTCCTCAAACGGTCTTCTCAGTGTATTTACAATCCAATCCATTTCCACTTTCTTCTTCTGCATATTTGTTGAGCTATAGGTTCTTAGTTGGTTCGTTACCAAGCCGCACTTTCTCCTTGCTTATTCTTTTTCGCTTCCTCATCTCACCTCATCTTCAGTATCGAGCAAGCGTAGGCGCCAGCTGTTGATATATGTCTGTAGTTTGTTGGAAATGCATTCCATTACGCGCCAACTCTTTCAACCATGACATAGAAGCACTGACTTACTTGACTGATATTAGTGTTGAAAATCCGGATAATGTTAACGCTTTATGTTGAGTGCAGTGCAGTGCAGTAGATCTCCATACTGACTTCAGGTTAATGAAAGCTTGTTTTACCATCTTTCCGATCCTGGCTGGCTTTGACGTCCTCATCTGTCACTGTGCCGCCTGTAGTTGAAACGATGCTGCCTAGGTAGGTGAAGGAGACAACTTTCTTTTGATTTCCCCCGTTCATGGTGATTGGTGCTTGTTGCTGTTGTTGGCTGGTTGGGTATCTTCATCACCTCCATCTTCTCTGCTTTTATCTGAAGGAAATTCCGTCTTCGCTGCCCTGCCTCACCTGTCAACTTGTTAGTTTTCGTCTATAGATCTTCGAGTTTGTGGAACATTAGATAGGGGATACCATAAATACTTTTTTTTGTGGTCGCGCTATATCGTGAATCGACAAAGTAGGTAATATGGACCATTGGATTGCGAACCAGTGGCTCAATGCTAACCACGGAATCTGGAGATTCTGGATTCGAGCCCTGGCGGGGTCATGAGTGTTCACTGTTGCGGAGTTCAAAAGTAGAACGAAACAGCGGCTATCTAGTGCTCCTAGGTTTCTAATGTTCCTTTAACTGATGTCAGTCCATGATAAACACCAACTTGATAGATGCATATGATAATAAACTAAGGATTATTTCGATAAGATTATGACTAATAATTCGAACACGCTATGCAAAACTAAAACAAATTGTGTATCATTCTAAATCAATAGCCAATTCGTTAGAATTTTAGTACTAGAAGTTGAAAGTCAGTCGTCAAGATGACCTCTTCCGCTCAGATTTCATATTTGTTTGCATTCATCAGAAGTATCGCTCACCTATAAAGATAAGAAAACTGATACTACTTCAATGATTCAAAATTGATGTCTATTTATCAAGTTTCTAATATGGTCACCAAGCTGAGAGCCGCGATGCATGACAGTATACTCTGTTTCACTGATAGATGTTGGAAGTCATGCGATTAATATCTTCGTACTATAACATATTTGTACCATAAGTTAATTAACCAACTAAACAAAGTAAACATACCAGGCTTTTCTGTATCCAACATCGACAGTGTATCCTTGCTGTGTTGAATAAAACGAAGGTAAAAGGAGGCAAATAAACACTTGAAAGATGATTGTAGAAACAAAATTGTTATACTACATGTATATCTTTAATGCAATGATCATCTGATAACGTTGACTAAAGCACTTTCAAAATACACGATAATCATGATGAAAAGAAGAAGCAACAGAGAAGAAAAACATGAACATGAACAATATGAAACAATACACTTGTTGATCTGTTGATCTGACCAACCATATAGCTGTTTCGCTCGTTTGGAGTGTAATTCATCAACAGTGTAAACGGATAAATTCTACTCACTTAGATGAACAACTTGGCTCAAAGAGTAGATTTTATCCGAGTACATCGCTGATGAGCTTATGTCCCCCTAATCAGCTAAACTCTCATCTCGGGTTTAAATCATTATGATGTGGCTATCAAAATCTACATATCAGTGAGAATGGTTCCTGGCTACTTACACTGTTCAATAATCTGCTTCAAATCGTCGTAATTCTCTTTCCGCTCCTTTTCGTCATCTCAAGGACCAAAAGCCATACACTTTCCAACTCTTTACAAGGCTTCAATCAACAGAGAAAAACTTTATGGATTGGCTAGATTTCTTGGTCTGATCATATTTAGCTTCTTTCTTTTAACATAAATTCCACTCTAATTGAAATTTCTCATCGAAGAACTTGATCGGTCAATGTGTTCAATAGATATCTCAACTGTCTCAGTCGATCCATATGTACATTTCTGTAGTTCAGGGGTATTTTACCATGGAAAACTGTTAAATGTGGAGTACATACTTCTATGAATTGCTTAGAGGATAGACATATAAGTGAATAATATTATTTTCAATTGTATCCTCTTCAGTCTTTACCCTAATATAAATAGTATCAGATATTGGAGATATGTGGTAAATTTTACTACCATTGAAATAAACGAATAAAAAGTTGTTGGGCCATATAAAGATGAAGTTTAGAAGTTGTGTGATATGAGTATGAGCAATAAGTCATCAATTAAATTCTACTGTATCATTGTGTGCCACATTCAATAAACAATCCGGTGTGGAAGAACTATATTCTACCACAGTGACCAGGTTTTTCTCTTACATTTATGATTATTATTATTCAAACCAACAATCCATTTTGTTACACTTTGCAGTAACACAGAGATCGTGTGATAATTAGGTAAAACAAAGAGAATAAGACATATAAGTGTGAACAATATTATTTTCTGAGGGTGTTGTGGAGATTTGGAATTATTTCAAGTTGTTATTCATCGTAGACTGACATCAGTTGGTTTCCTTTGACTTTCCTTTGTTCCTCCAACTGATGTCAGTCTACGATGAATAACAACTTGAAATATTATTTTCAATAGTATCCTCTTCAATCTTTACCCTAATATAAATAGTCTAATGTATATAAAAAGTTAAACCAGTCATGTAGATTTATCGGTTAATCTGATAATTGCTTTAAGATAACGATGGTGATAATCATACAAATAATAAAAGTTATAACGTTGACTAAAGCGCTTTTAATATAGACGATAATTATGATGATGATGAAAAGAACCAAGAGAGCAGCATAAACAACGTACACACTGCGATAATAAAAGTGGATCAGAAGCTTGTGGAAATAAAAGTTACATACTATTGAAGGATGAGGTAAGTGGATAAATAAAGTCTAGACAAATACAGTAAGTATATGAAAGGGGTGAAGAATAGGGAAAGAGGTAATAGAAAAACTGAATGATAAAGTTATTAATCGAGTATTCCCTGGCCAAGGGAGAATGTATATTTTGTCTTCAATAGCTCTCATCATAGACATATTGGTGAGTTAGCTACGGAAACATCACTTGGCTCTGTTTTAGCTGCTATATTTTCCTCCAAACTCGAGAACGGAGCATTGAAAGATGTCAGTAATGAAATGAATATATATCACCGTTATATTGACGAAACATTCTGTCTGCTTAGCAAGACATCGAAGAAGCGTAGTTTACTGGTATTTTCTTCCTCACAAGTAAAAGTGAGTGAAGGGTGCACCTCATTAAATTACCTTAACACCTTTCGTCAATATAACGGTAATAATAATAATAATCGTTATCTTAAAGCATTTATCAGATTAACCGATAAATCTACATGACTGGTTTAACTTTTTATATACATTAGACTATTTATATTAGGGTAAAGATTGAAGAGGATACTATTGAAAATAATATTGTTCACACTTATATGTCTATCCTCTAAGCAATTCATAGAAGTATGTACTCCACATTTAACAGTTTTCCATGGTAAAATACCCCTGAACTACAGAAATGTACATATGGATTGACTGAGACAGTTGAGATATCTATTGAACACATTGACCGATCAAGTTTTTCGATGAGAAATTTCTATTAGAGTGGAATTTATGTTAAAAAAAAGAAGCTAAATATGATCAGACCAAGAAATCTAGCCAATCCATAAAGTTTTTCACTGTTGATTGAAGCCTTGTAAAGAGTTGGAAAGTGTCTGGCTTTTGGTCCTTGAGATGACGAAAAGGAGCGGAAAGAGAATTACGACGATTTGAAGCAGATTATTGAACAGTGTAAGTAGCCAGGAACCATTCTCACTGATATGTAGATTTTGATAGCCACATCATAATGATTGAAACACGAGATGAGAGTTTAGCTGATTAGGGGGACGTAAGCTCATCAGCGATGTACTCGGATAAAATCTACTCTTTGAGCCAAGTTGTTCATCTAAGTGAGTAGAATTTATCCGTTTACACTGTTGATGAATTACACTCCAAACGAGCGAAACAGCTATGTGGTTGGTCAGATCAACAGATCAACAAGAGTATTGTTTCATATTGAGGATTCCATTAGATCACGACAGTTTCTTGTAAGGGATCACACCTGTCGGTGCCAAAGTTAGGAAGTCGTAAACCTATTCAGGAGTGAGAAATATCAATATTAACTGCACAATTTGTAAATCATTTTTAAATTGATCATATCACTATTATGATACGATTTGAAACGCATCAAAATGTTGTAGATTTACATACTTTGCGAGATTCTGAACAATTTATTCTCTCTCTCTCTTTCTCCTCTCAAACACGTTATTAAAAGATGATGATTATCAGAAAAATGTGATGTTATTCCGCAGTACACTTTGAACAATCAAATCATGCAATTACTTCTCAAGTTGTCAATTTATATATGAAAATGATCTATCATATGTTTAACCATTAGAAAACCTACTCGGAAAGTACTCTACTTGAGATTCTACAGCTTTTGTTCAATTAACTATGAGAGTTAATAGGATCCATCGTGTTTGTACATTTGATATAACGGATGGTGAGAGGAAATTTCTGATGGATACACTGATGGAAAAAAGACATCCATTAAAACTTTTTAATCGTTGCAGAAAACAGTTAACCGTAAAGCATATAATTTCCTCGATCCCGAAGAAGGATATATTTCTTAAAGTACTATACAGAAGAGAAACAAGTAGTATGATGCTGAAACAGAGATTAAAATGTGTTATCAGTAAACAAACTATGCAACTCAACTTATCATTGTTAAGACAACAAAACACATACTTCACCACAAACCTCGACGTAGCATAATTGATTACGTCACATCTCACTGTGTTTACCAATTTACATGTCTGTGTGACCATATATACATAAGGAGTAGTCGTGTAGTGCCGACTAGGGTGGTTCGAAAAATAGTTTAACACACAAACTTCGATAAGTGCAAGTGATAGAGATCCAGAGCAAAACATCTTCATTGAAATGAATCATAAGGTTAATACGAAAACAGCCTTCAAGATATTATTTATATAGGAATAATCAGGGGTGAATAGTGAAATTTACCGAAGCATTAGCTATTCGTAAACTTAAGCCCCCATTGTGTGTACAAAAGCAGTTTATTCCTTCACTTAATTTACCTTGCTAATCTGATTACATTGCAGTGGGCGTTGCTGATAAGAATGGATATAAGTAGTTGAGAGGGTGAGAGGGTGGCATAAATCATAGGGAATTACCAGCAATGAGTAAGCATTCTGCCCAGACAAATGCCTGGTTAACTAGTTCACTAGTTACTAGCCGGTCCTAAGCTCGGGTAAAAATGGAAGGTTTGACGTAGGGCTAGCAACCCTACACCGGAAAACAAATCCAACCGCTAAAGAAACTTCAAAGCACAAACAAAATATAAAAAATAGAAACAAACTTATTCCTCGCTGGAATCGGAGAGGCGAAAGAACGCCAGTTGGTGAAAGCCTTCGGGAAGCCAAATGGTCGATATGTCTTCTGTCGATGAAAGCGAAAGTAAACGTGAAGACATGTTTGAACGTTGTCAAACTCCCGAAGAAGGGCGACCTAAGTCTTTGCAACAATTGGCGCGGAATCACGCTGTTGTCCACCCAAAGCAAAATATTAGGCCGCATCATCGTGGAGAGATTAAAGGATGTGCTGGATTCAAAACTACGACCCGAACAGCAGGCTTCAGGAAGTACAAATCATGTGCGGATCAAATTGCAGTGCGTCGCATCATCATAGAACAGAGCATAGAATGGCATTCAACTCTCTACCTCAACTTTATCGACTTCGAAAAGGCCTTTAACAGCGTCGACCGAGAAGTAATTAGGCTGTTGCTTCAACACTACGGAATACCACAAACCTTTATCAGCCTCATTCAACAACTATATGAAGACGTCACATGCTAATTAATTCACAACAGGAAGCTCAGTCATGCCTTTGAAGTGAAGATGAGACAGGAGTAAAACAAGGCTGTTTACTATCACCCATGATATTCCTGATTGTGGTTGACTGGATCATGCAGCAGATAAGTGTGAGGAGCGAGAAGAGGGGAATACGCTGGACCGTGGAAAAGAAACTAGAAGATTTGGATTTCGCCGACGATGATTTATGTTCAATGCCTTGTCGCGCAAACTCGACGATCTACAGGCGAAAACTAACAAGTTGACAGAAGAGGCAGGGCAGGGCATTGAAGACGGCACTTCCTTCACGTGAACGTAGAGAAGACAGAGGTGATGAAGATAACCAACCAACAACAACAACAAGCTACAATCACCATCAATGGGAGAAACTTAGAAAAAGTAGCCCCTTTCACCTATGTAGGCAGCACTGTTTCAACTACAGGAGGCACAGGCAAAGACGACGACGTCACAGCCAGTTAGGATCGGAACAGCATGCAAGACAGGCGTTCATTAACCTGAAATCTGTGTGGAGATCTACTGCACTTAGCAAAAATAACAAGATCCGGATTTTCAACACCAATTCAGTCAAGTCAGTGCTTCTATGTGATGGTTCAGAGACTTAGCACGTTACGAAAGCCATTTCCAACAAACTACAGATATTCAACAACAACTGCCGTCTACGCTCACTCGTTACTGAAGCTCAGATGGCCAGAATAATAAGAATGAGCAACAAGGAACTCTAGTTGGCTGGCTGGCAACGAACCAATAAAGCAAGAACCTATCACGCAACAAATATACAGTGGAAGAAATGGAGATGGATTGGATTGGGCATACACTGAGTAGGCCGACTGGGGATATCATGCGCCAGTCGAGGCCCTCGAGTGGAACCCAGATGGGAAACGACGAGTTGGGCGTTTGAGGTGAGGGTGACATGGAGGAGATGGTGTGAGGAAGAAATGAGAGGTTTTGGGCTGTCATGGAGCCAGGTTGAAAAGATTGCAGAGAAGAGAGTGCAATAGAGGTGTGCTACTGAATCCCTATGTTCTATTAGGAACCCAAGGGACTAATAATAATAAAGAGCAAATCAAGATAGATGCAGAAGAGGAAGTGAAATACATGGTGCAAATGGCTGTCTTAATGGAAAGTGTACAACAGTTGATGACTACTGTACAAGATGTCAATAATAAGCATTCCTTCCTACGTCGCAGTCTTCTTATTTCCTACAAGATTACCAAGACTAGTGTCACAACCTTTTCATGTTCGTTATATTTAACCTTTCATTTTTCTGTATATAAGTTGACGACTTGACAAGTAAATGTGTGATCAGATTGTTCGAAATGTATTGCGCACATACATATCACATTTTTCAGATAATCTTCATCTTCTAATAACGTTATCGAAACTTTAGTATACTTTAGTATTATCCTATTTCAATTGTTCTACTTTTTATGTGGTGACACGTAATAGGATATTCTGATGTGATACATTGCTGTGAAAGGTTCTAGCTTCATATATCTGTCTATCTCTCTATCTGACATATGGGTCAGTTAGCTAAATCTCAACGTTAATGAAATGCAACACACAATGTAGGAAATTTAATGATATAATATCCCACATACAAAAAGACAAAATAAAGATATTCTAGTGATTGAAAGTCAGAAGAACACAACACAAAGATATTCAATATGTCCACAATGATGTACTATTTGACCTTGATTTAGTAAGATGTAAATATCATTAAGTTGTATAATATAAAGGCTAGGAAATAATACGATAGAAATGGGGAGAAAAAACAATATAATTCAATTTAGAGGTTTGCGGATGATTTATTTAGTGTACACTTCCTTGGACTATCATACTATGACGAAACAGCTGGCCCAGTACTCCCAGGTTTTTAATGTTTCTCCAATTGATGTAAGTCCATAGTGAATACCAACTTGAAATCGATAAATCCCTACAAAAAAAGCCCCCAAACTGAATCTATTGCTCAATGGAAACTGGCTTCGAGAGATGATTTCTGAAGTTATAATGAGAAGTCGTGAGTGGTTGGGCGAACCAAGTGAACGTGAGGACAAATACTTAACGATGACGTTGGGGTCATGGTCGCACTACATATCGAACCGATAGAAGTAGGAAATATAAACCATTGGATTCTGACTTGGTGGTTTAATGGTGAACCTGAAGGCATTGGGTTCGATGCTAAGATGGTACAGCTGTCCAGTGCCCCAAAGTTTTCAGTGTTTCTCGAACTATTGTCAATCCATGGTGAATACCACCTCGAAATGTTTCTTAATCTGGTTGAGTTGTATCTTCAGATAAGGTCTGTGTGTCAAGTATTTGTCCTTTGATTTCAACATTCCACAACAGATAACGATGACCTATAATGTTAACTTTAATCCCACTACCGAAAATCAAAAATCCACTCAGTAAGCTTATGAAGGTTTTTGCAGTATACAATGAGCCATTCCCTTTGTATGAGGGTATTTGATACTACCTGGTAGCCGAAACCACCTCGGTAGGTGGCGATGGGTTCGAGCCATGACCTACAAGTTAGAGGTCCCAAGTACCTAAACCAATGAGACAGCCCCCCCCCACATTTCCACTAACACAATAACAAGAAAGATCAAATCAAACATCTTCATTAAAACTCACCGAGTTAGCTGTTCTGAATTCTTACGTGATGATGATGATGGAGTAACAGAGTTATCTATAAAAAAAGCGAAACTCAAATGTAAGAGCTAAGTGAGATTCTTGTTACATATGCAGATAGATGGTTTGAATCTGCGTCAGAGTTCTAAAGTAAGAGATCAACCCAACAAGCCATACAGGTCACGACTGACCCTCTGTAGAATTGGATCAAATACACGAATTAGTGACTAGTGAGTAACTGATGAAGCCAGTTAGTCTTCAGTGCCTAGAACTGACACTGTGGTGGCTTGGGGCAGCCAGAATAAAACATAGCACCAGTGGATAAAGTCCTTGACTATTGGTTTGAGCCATGTAGGGTAATGTAGACTAGCTGGTTGTGGTCCGTGGGACAAGAGAAACCAGTGATTGGAGACTCTAGGTGATATGGTTCAGGAGTGGTGTCAGTAGTTCAGATATATTCGCATGTTAACCTAATCTTAACCTACATAATGAAACCAGCATTTTCTCATTCCTTCTTCTCCTTTTTTTATTCCTTCCAACCAATTCTTCTTTCTTTCTTCATCTTCCATCGTATTACCTCGTTACGACATGTGGTGATATGAGGTGTGACAACTTGGACTCTTACTCAGTAATGCCTGTAGTTGTATACTAATAATGACGTATAGTATAGTTTGTCAGGTTTATTCAACTCACCGCATTTTTGAAAGATTTAACGAATCGTTAGTTAAAAACAGAAGAGAATTAACTGACGAGAATAGAAAAAAAGTTAGTACGACAGAGATGGTAGGCAGATAGGCAAGAACAACACGAAAACTCAACTATTTGGAAATTCATTGAGATTAGAATGGAACAAATTGTGAGTTTTATCATCCTCTGAAGTTTGTAATCACCAACTTCTATTTTCATTTGTATCAGTTACCACATCTGCAATGCTTTAAATAACTTAGATGAAGAGTGAAAAGTTATAGAAGTGAATGTCATATATTGAAATAACCTTCTTGAAGAAACTTTTCCTTCTATATACTAGTTATAGTATGAAATATATACTACTGAACAAAATGAGCAGTAATGAACGATTCTTGCTGATCTGCAAATTTTACTGAGTAGATCAAAGTGATCTAAACGTCGGGTGGTCATCAGCAGTCTACCTGTCTGGACTTTGATCACACATCGTGTATGTCTGAGTAATGCTCATTCTGAGGAAACCTGACATGATACTTAGTCTGCTGCAGAAACAGTGCTAAAGACAGTTGGTAACCTATATAAGAAGGTTAGCAGACGTCGTTCAATTTCCACAACTTCATCCAAACTGGTTAATACAAAAAGACTGACCCCAACTGGCTGTGACCACGATGAAGAGCGGAAGCAACTTAAACGTAAGTTGACCCGGAGTTTTCGAGTCAATCGCGAGCAGTGACGGGTGGTGTAAGGGAGAGATGGAGAAGGCATAAGCGTTGAATTACACCCGGTAACTATTTAGATGATGGTTTGTGAAATCATCACCGAAAAGGACAGGTGGCTAAAACGTCGGGCAAAACACTTTGAAGCACAGTTCAACTGGCCTACAGTAACGCTTCATTTAACCAACATGGAGTCTGAACGTGAATGGATATAGATGTCGGTCCTCCAACTCTCTGTGAAGTTGAGAAAGCTGTTTTGAATCTGAAACGATGGAGGGTAGGAGGGCCCGACAGTTTGCCACATGAGGTTTTCAGCGATGGAGGTAGGAAATTGATTAAAGTGACGGAGGTACTAGGTAGTGTATGGGAATCAGAGGTAGTGCCATCAGACTGGTGTACTGCATTGATCTTTCCAGTTTGTAAGAAGAGAGAGAAGTCTTCTTATGACAACTATAAGGGATCTTACGGTCGATAGTTATCCGACGCCTAACTGGAGCTCGAGAATAGCAAACTCAGATTTCAGACCTAGACAAGAGTGCACCGAACGATTTCCACCCTTCGAAAGGTTTTGAAACGCAGGGATACTTACCGGTGACCAACACTTGACATTTCGGAACGAAAATTATCCTTAACAGAATACAATGTTTGATGAAAAGGATTACACTACAACAGAGAGAATACAAACAGATTAAATTTCTATACAGCCTTTGGAACTTCACTAAAAACTACAGTAATAACAGTTGAAAAACAACAAGAACTACGACAACCAGTTGTACTGTTTGTCAAAAGCAAACAAAAGAAGCACCATCAGAGAACAGAAACCGAATTCACTCATATCAGATAGCGAAAAGACTTCCCTAAGGAATAAATACTGATGAATTTGCCTAGCTTGGCGGTGAAACATTTACGGAAAAGAACTCAAAGTTTTAATAACACGAAACAACTACAAGTCACAGTTTTGTTAATTGACTTGTCTTTCTTATGAAGGTACTGTATGCTTAATTTCAACAATACCATGTAGGTATATTAATGATACAAAAAGGTTTCTACCTTTTAATTTCCGCATTGATTAATGACTATATCTGATAGCCATAGCTTAGGACGGAACAAACTCAATACTAGACAGTTAGATATCTTGAGGCAAGTACAGTCTATAGTCTTGTACATCAAACTATATAATAGTTGATGAGTTGTATTACATTATTATTATTAGTCCCTTGGGTTCCTGATGGAACATAGGGATTCAGTAGTACGTCTCCATTCCACTCTCTTCTCTGCAGTCTTTTCAACCTGGCTCCATGACAGCCCAAAACCTCTCATTTCTTCCTCACACCATCTCCTCTATATCACCCTCACCTCAAATGCCCAACTCGTCGTTTCCCATCTGGGTTCCACTCGAGGGCCTCGACTGGCGCGTGATATCCCCAGTCGGCCTTCTCAGTGTATGCCCGATCCAATCCATCTCCACTTTCTTCCACTGCATATTTGTTGAGTGATAGGTTCTTGCTTCGTTGGTTCGTTGCCAGCCAGCCAACTAGAGTTCCTTGTTGCTCATTCTTTCCCGCCTTCTCATATGCTCTTTAGTATTGAGCCAGCGTAGGCAGTTGTTGGTGAATGTCAATAGTTTGTTGGAAGTGGAAGTGCTTTACGTGACACTCCAACTTTCTGAACCATCACATAGAAGCACTGACTTGACTGAATTGGTGTTGAAAATCCGGATCTTGTTCACGCTTTATGCTGAGTACAGTGCAGTAGATCTCCACACTAATTTCAGTTTAGTGAAAGCCTTTCTTGCTGTCTTTCCAATCCTGGCTGCTTTGACATCCTCGTCTGTGCCTATGCCAAATGTAGTTGAAACGATGCCACCTGGGTAGTTGGGTAGGTGAAAGAGACTACTTCCTTTAGGTTTCTCCTGTTCATGGTGATTGGTGCTTGTTGTTGATGCTGTTGTTCGTTGGGTGGTATCTTCACCACCTCCGTCTTCTCTACATTGACTTGAAGTCCCGTTTTCGCTGCCTCGCCTCTTCTGTCAACCTGTTAATTTTCGCCTGTAGATCGTCGAGTTTGTGCGACAAGACATTGAACATAAATCATCGTCGGCGAAATCCAAATCTTCATCTGAGGTCTTTTCATCGGTCCAGTATATGCTCATAATGTCATAATATAGATGTTAATATTCCAATTCACTATCTAAAAGAGCTTCTCCTTCAATGTACCTTAAATGTACACTTCAGACTTGATAACGAGATCTACAGGTAGATGGACGGTGTGGCAATGGGTTCTTCACTAGGACCTCTCTTAGCTGACTACTTCATGTCAAACCTGGAAAACATGAACTTATTGTCAATGAACTTCTTGTCTACAAAAGATACATCGACGATACCTTTATAATCTGCAACAGAAACATGAATCTTGCAAACCTGGTTTATACTTTCAACAGCGCCGATCCTTCAACCGAATTCACTCTAGAATCAGAATTAAATTCAACGTTACATTTTCTTGATATTCAACTACACAAGAAAGACGATAATTCACTCTATAGATCGATCTACAGAAAACCTTCGTGGGACTGACAGTTTATTAATTTAAAAGTTCAGTCCCTCTATGTAGGAAGAGAAATCTTGTTCATTCACCTTCCTTGAGGATAAGGAAGATATGTACTGGAGATACTGTTGACAGAGAACCGCAAAATCTTCAACAAACTCTAGCGCAAAACGGTTTCCCACTCAGATTCATCGATAAAAAAATAAAGTCAAGGAAACCAACTAAACCAACACATTTGCCTCTGAAAAAGATTCTTTTGTTCAATCTTGAGTTCAAAAACGATATAGCTGCAGACATGTTCAGGAAACGACTGCAAAAGTCCTTAAATGGAGCATACCTTGCCGCCAACCTTCGAATTATTCTCTTCTGCAAGAAACATTTTGGTCAATGTGTGAAAGATAAGCCGATGCATTGGGTGATATCAGTGTGTGTATACCAGTTTAATTGCTTTTGTGGAGCTGAGTATATCAGCCGTACCATGCACCCGCTTGTAAAACGTGCCAGCGAACATTATGCAGCATGGCTGACTGGCAAAAGGAAAACGGATATATATCTTCAGTTCAATAACAGAACACCTCGTGAACTCAGGCAACTTGGCTCCTTTTGAGAGCTCATTTAAAAGCCTTTATATGGTTCGATCAAACCACTCGAAGGGAGTAGGATCAAGGCATTTGTCTATATATAGCTAAAGCAGTAGCCATTCAGAAGTTCAAACCAGCGTTATATGTCCAGAAGTGGTAAGTCCAACCTTTATCTTTGCCATGGCTATCATAAAGCCTTGACTGTCATAGATTCATCCTGTATACATGTATTCTCATAATCATTTTGTCTATTTTCCCACTCTAAATCCAAATGTATATTAGTTAACTGCCTTTAGTTATTCAATATATTTTGCCCCTAACCGGAAATAATTCTGGGACGTTCTGCCCACTGTAATATATATATATATATATATATATATATATATATATATATACATGAATGTACAACTTAGTAAATGACTTCGTCGAAAAGAAAGAATTTTTCTTCGCTGGAATCACGTCTTGTATTACCAACAACAGAAGTACTGAACTCCTTTGTGTTGCTAACAGTATTTATAGTACTCTTACTACTTAACTGTTTGTGTTTTAAAGAGTTTCTTAATGAACTCCAGAGAATTACTAGTGATTCCCTTATATGTTTCAATGCCTTTTTAATCCCTTTGATTGACTAACGAGCTTTCTAGCTTTACTATCCAAATAGTTGACTAAACACTCCTTAAAGCAAGAACTATATTCTCAGTCACAGTGCCCGAGTTTTACTCTTTTATAGATGAATCAAGGAATCCGAAATTCCTAAGATAATTCATCTATGGACGGAACAATATTGTAAATATTTGCAGACAAGATATGCCTTAAATTGTAGGATATCAAATTAGGCATATCTACTGACTTAAATTTTCTACTCATTGTCCTGTTGTTAAGTAACATTGGCTCTGTTAATGGTTACACTGAACTCCTTGTATATATGCTGATACGGTATCGCAGATCAACTAATCAATAATGATGCAATTATCCGACTAAATAAATCAGTTTATAGACTTAGCTATCCCATAGACTATGGGGGAAAAGAAGGTATACGTAGACAGTTGTCCCAAAACATTACTGTATGCAGATGACAGTCACGAAACACATCCATACTAAATATTAGTAAATAATAATAATAATAATAATAATAATAATAATAATAATAATAATAATAATATGATCAATTCCTCTTTAACACACCTTTAGGCAATGGGCATCGAAGTATGCCCTCAGCACTAGCCACGGGTAAACGACTCCTTGGACAACACCGACGTAACAACATACATGTTTGTATCAATATAATGACTGGATTAGAAAGTTTTCGACTCTGACAGACTTTATATTGCTTTCTATCAGTCATTACATCACTTTGTGATGTATATTTAGCCTTTTCAGGACCTTTTTTATGCAATACGATGGAAGATAATTTTGTCGGTATAAATGTATTATTGGCTACATTCAATGGAATATTTTCAGCGTTTTCCATTGTAGTCATTACTTCATTGTCATCAAGATAATGATCATCACGTACGCGAGTGGTAACAACAGGACTTGATGAGCTTCGAGTAGACAAAGCGGTTGAATTCATCTTCTCTCCAGTGATATTCAATTGTTTTGAACGAGATTTGCTGTTCACAGAGGAGACATTGGTGGTACTAACAGTCCCACTTGTCATAGTCGTTACTGTTACTGCTGTTGCCGTTGGTGTTGTTATAGAGTATGCTCTAGGACGACAACTCCTTGATACATCAGATTTTCGATGAATATGCGATAGGGAACTAGAAGATGTGAATTTTTCATTCTTTTTTAAAGAATTACTCCTTAACAAGAGGTTAGTATTACGTTCAAGTGGATCAGGTCCAACATAACCAATACAAACAGCGAATAAGGTATGAATTCCACCTGAGGCAATAAGAGCTTTACGTCCAGAACCTGAAAATATCGAACAGAAAATCAACAATCAAATAAAACAATCAGTTTATTACAACTCAATTAAGATAGACAGACGGACAGACAGACAAGATCAGAATAAGACGTAGAATTACTGCATAATGGCCGAAGCTGAAATACCTCATATCAGCACATCAAGCGACAATGAACTAAGATGAAAGATAAGAAAGCAGAAAGAAGGCAAGTAGTAGAAAGGTATGATAAAACGAAGAGAGAGAATAAGAGAATACTGAATTTAGTATCATGATTAAGATGAGGATAATGGGTGAATACATCTATGCCAATGAGATTGGTTCCAAGCCATATTACACAGAGTCCTCAAACACTGGTTTCTGTTGTCACACGGACCCCAATCAAGAAGTCTACATTTCCATAGAAAGCTTAGGTGAATGATCTTGATTGTGTTAAGTTCTCTAAGCTGGATAGCGAAATCACTAAGCTTTCATTGTTCTTCTTAATAGGGTCATCATTACTTAAACATAAAGTGAGCTGTTACAATCAGTAGCTTACCCTGATGAAGTGGTGTGTGGATGGTAGTTTCTTTTGATTATTGTATCGTTAACTGTAGAGACTTTCGTTGATGATTTAACTATCTAAGATAATTGTTGTTTGGCAGACTAGTATTTGTACTAGGTGATGATTGAAGGTTCGATGAAAATCTGGACCGCGGCCGGAGTCGAACCAGCGATCACTGGGTTACCGACCCGATGCTCTACCAACTGAGCTACGAGGTCCGACTGCGAATCCAGCCACGGTCCAAATTTTCATCTCACCTTCAATCATCACCCAGTACAGAGATTTTTCTATTGGCGAAGGATACTTACTATACCTCTCCGCTTATAGACGATGCAAGACTTTCGGATAGCATAAGTCTGATGGGACTTATTCATAATTTTTCTAAGAACATACTTTTTCAATTCAATGGTAAGATATACACACAGATGAAAGGAACTCCAGTGGGGGTGACCGATATCTAGATTAATTGCGAAAGTAGCACTGCAGAAACTTGAAGTCACCGTAATACTGACAATCACACAAAAAACGTGGATCTGTTATATGAACAGTAAGTTTCCGATGAATTGGATAACAAAAACAGATTGATCAACATTTTAAACAACAGCAAATTCCCAGTAGAGGAAGAATAGAATAACAGGATGTCATCTGTGAAGGAGGCTTAAGTTTACAGAGTGTCAAAGCACATTGGTCAAATCTTCAAAGACAGAATCAACAACTCAACTATGCATAAAACTAGTTGCATGAAGACTCTATTCAACAGATCAGGAACACACACTCAGTACAACAACTTCATGAAGAAACCAATAAAATTACCTACGAAACCTATCCAGTCTATCATCAACTACAAAGTCATCCATAGAAATCAGCGAACTGATCATCATCCTGTCACATAAGAAGTATATGCCAAGGATCACGTGGAATCGGTGTGGTTCATAAATCAACAAATTCTCTACAAACCATATATGATACGCACCGAAGGACATGACAGTCAAAGAAGAAACACTATCATTTACAAAATCATCTACAACAACTACTATCAGCACTACATTAGATAAAAGGGTCATCTTCTTCGCTTTCATTTGGGTAAACAATGTCACGATATTTCGTCTGTTATATCAATCTATGTGGATAGTTTTGAAAATGAAGAAGTCTTGATCACAGGAAACAGAGAATATAAGAAAATTTTTAGTAGTTTTGCATTCAGGTCAACTAGGTATCAAGTGGTGTATAGACAAGGACTCATTGGATAAACACCAATGAGAAGGATGACAAACAACTAGAAGGTTAGAAGTCAGGCGGAGAAACACCCAGTAAGAAAACTTTCAGTAGCCAATGATACAATAACAATCAAAGAAAACTATACACAGTACACATTACGACTCAGTTGCCCAGATCATAAAAAAATTAGTAATGATGAGTACGTAATTCCTCTTTACTTCAATGAAAACTAAACAAGAGTTGAGTCATAACCATAATAAGAAGTTGAAATCCTGTCCCATCATTAGCATGACGTGACCAACATAAAACACAGTTGTCACAAGCTTGACTGCAACTTCTTCTGCCGTATCATGAAGATAAATACCATGAAGTTAGTGGTGAAGGTTAAATTAATATCTACTGTATGACACGTACCAGCCTTTTGTAGTTGTAAGGAGTGTCTCCTAGTTTGTGCTTTTCCTTTCTTTAATACACTTACCAAGAATCCTTAATGTGTCTCCAAGGTAGCTATACCTTATAGGGGCAAAAGGACTTATATATGGATATATATTAGGATAGATCATAGACTATAACCTAAGTGTTAGTAGCTAAGATAAACCAGGTTTCAGAGTTTATCTTACGGTTATTAGCAGGCAACGTTCTCGCTTAAGCTCCATTGAAGGGGACTAGTTAGTACTTCTGAGACAATGCCCTCTTGTTATTGCAGACAAATTTTGAATATCATCACCTCCAATTTCCATGGCTTAGTAATCATATTCCTTATGAAGAATAGTTCAGGATGCCAATACTACCTAAGAAATTTTGAATTTTCGCCATCTCAGCATTGAATGTATTCATAGACAACATCTTCTTTGATCTATTTGTCAAATATTTGACTAGGTTATTCTCTTTTTGGTAAAACTAGGACAAAACTGTACCAATCAGTGCATTCATCCCTCCATATGAGTTTCTGATGAACTAAATCATTTGTGATCGGTTATAGTTGACCAATTCATCCAAATCAATGATATGAAGAGATAAATTACAAAATTAAACTAAATTCTGAAAAAATATTGGGTCTCGAAAACACAAGGTGATCATGATCAAGAGTTTATATCAAAAAGGAGTAAACTCTGAACATTGTGGTAGATTAAATTGTTTGTTCGGTATAGCATATACCGAAGAAGCATAATTTATTAGATGACGTTTTTAGTGTAATTCATTTTCTCCTAATCAAATCAATGTAATCAAACAACTTTTAGACTTCACTAATATAGTCCAACAGTTATTCATTCTAGGTTCGGTTCCTAGCAGGGTCATAGGTGCGCACTGTTAAGGAGTACCATACTAGGACCAAATAGCTTTCCAGTGTTACCACGTTACCAATGTCCCTCCAGGTGATTTCAGTCAGTCCATGATGTATTCCAACCTAAAATCAGTTAATAAACCTCCACAAATCTTCAGATAAAATTAATCTATCACTCATTGGTGACTAGCTTAGAGAAGTGACTCTTAAAGTTACTCAACGACGATATTGGACGTAAGTCGCGCTATTTTATGAACTGACACAGGTAGGAAATGTGGACCATTGGATTCCGACCCATTGGTTTAATGGTGACGTGCTGGTTACGAAACCTGGAGGTCCTGAGTTAGATCCGCCGGCGGAGTCGTGGGTGCGCACTGCTGAGGAGTCTCATACCAGGACGAAACAACCTCCCAATGCTCCCAGGCTTCCAATGTTCCTCCAACTGATATCAATCTACGATCAATTCCAACCTAATAATCATTCTTTCATTTTAATGGTAGTAAAGTTCTCGAAATACCTACAGTATATGATGAACCACTCATGTTTCAGGTGTTCGGTGTAGATTCAATGAACAAGTTTTACTCTAAAAAGTTTATAGGCTAAAAGATCCAGTAGATCCGATGCAACAAAATAACCTCATCCAACAAATCCCATGTAATGAGTGTGAGATCAAATATGCAGATCAAAGTAGCTGATCGAGGTTAATCAGGATAGAATGATAGGACCTAATTGAGAGGGAAACTTGGCTATCGCTTTGTACACATTGACCCGCAATCAGACTATAGGGTAAGATAGGGTGACAATTCTGAAATGGAATGTAGCTAGATGAGGGCTAGAATTGATTACAGAATGTTTATCATTTTGACTATTTGAGATAGCCATCGTTTGGCGGACTAGTACTCATCATCAAAACCAACAACATAGGACCAGGCATTACTGCATAACGGTCCAACTTGCCACATCTCACATCAGCACATCGACTAACAAGGCAATAAAATGGAAGATGAAAAAGGAAAGAAAACTCGGTCAAAGGAAGTGTGCGTATGCCTCTTCGCCAGTGGCATCGGTTTTGAATCATATCATATAGAGTTTCCAACCACTGGTTTCCCTTGTATCGCAGACCTCAACCAGCTAGTCTGTATCTTTCCTACATGGCTCAAACGAACAGTCAAGAACTTCATGAATTGATACCATGTACTGATCGAAGAGGATGATTGAAGGTGAAATGAAAATATGGACCGCTGCGGGATTTAAACTAGGGACGACCAGCATTGTAGCTCAGTTGTTAGTGAGCAGAGCTGGAAACCCAGTGGTCGCTGGTTCGAATCTTGCCGCGGTCCAAATTTTCATTTTATCTTCAATTATCACCCAGTTTCAGAATCTTTGTTGATCGGATAAACATTTAACACATGCAACATGAATGGTTCACCAGATACTGTAGGTGTTTGGAGGACTTTATTACCATAAAAATAGATAAATAAAGTGTTGTTCGACCATATAACTGAGGTTAGAATAAGGCAAGTTGACAGAAGAGGAAGAGAAGACGGCACTTCCTTCAGGAACACATAGAGAAGACAGAGGTGATGAAGATACCCAAGTAACAACAACAAAAAGCGCCATCAACGGGAGAGACTTAAAGGAAGTTGTCACTTTCACCTACTTAGGCGGCACCGTTTCAATTACAGGCGGCACAGATACAGATGAGAATGTCAAAGATAGGATAAGAAAAGCAAGACAGGCCTTCCTGCATCAATGTGAAATCAGTGTGGAGATCTACTGCACTGCACTCCACTGCACTACAATGCACCCAGCATAAAGCGTGAACAACATCCGGATTTTTAACACTAATGTCAGTCAGATAAGTCGGTGCTTCTATGTGATGGTTGAGAGACTTGGCGCCTTACGAAAAGCATTTCCAACAAACTACAGACATTCATCAACAACTGCCGCCTACGCTCAATACTGAAGGTTAGATGGCCAGAAAGAATAAACAACAAGGAACTCTGGCAACGAACCAATCAAGAACCCATAGCTCAATAAATATGCAGTAGAATAAAGTGGGGATGGATTGGATTGGGCAAACACTGAGAAGACCGTTCGGAGATATCACGCACGGAGCCAGACCATCGAGTTGAATCCAAAGGGGAAACAATGAGTTGGGCGTCCGAGGTGAGGGTGATATAGAGATGGTGTGAGGAAAAAATGAAAGCTTGTGGGCAGTTGTGGAGCCAGGTTGAAAAGACTGGAGAGAAGGTGAAATAGTGATGTGCTAGTGAAGTCCTATGTTCCACTACGAACTCAATGGACAAATAATAATAACAGTAATAATAATACTTCGATATGATTATGAAGAATAATTGATATTTGAAACGTCATTCAGTAAATAATACTGTATCCCTATGTCATGTATCAAAGTGAACAATTTAGTATGGAAAAGATCAAATCGTTTTGGTGCAATTAGTCAGAATCGGTGATATTCACTAGTTTATGCATTCGCAGGAATGAACATTACATAAACCTTCTATGAATCTTTCATAGAAACCTGTTAAAATAGAGCACAACTCTTGATCAATTCAAGAGACCGTTTAACAAAAAAACTAACATATAAGTCAAACACACTTAACAATATATTAAAAAAAACGATTTGTTTAGTTAAGCAAGTTTACGGGGAACTGAATCAAAATCATCTAGCGAAAAATTGATACTATGGAAGCATGAATCATTGGCTAAATAGTAACATGCAAGTAGCAAGATTTCATGGTACCTAAACTGGATCCAATATGGTGGTCATGGATGAGCATTTCTACAGAGTAGTGAACTAGGTTGATACCTTTTGATTCTCGATGTTTCTCTACATGGTTTAAATCCTCAATGAATAATGGGAAGCATTTTCATTCTTTGTGGGGATTTATTGAACATTGGAAATTCGAGATTACTGGACAGTGGTTTTATCTTAGTATGGAACCCCTCAGCTATGCTCACCCACCGCACCAGGGTTCGAAACCAAAACCTTCGGGTTCTGCAGCCATCACGTTACCATTGGGCCGCTGGATCAGAACCCAATGGTCCATATTTCTAGTCTGAAGGTGCTGGGTCCGATCCCTGGCAAGGCCATAAGTGCGTACTGCTGAGGAGGCCCATACTAAGACGAAACAGCTGTCCAAGGCTCCCAAGTTTCCACTATTTCTACAACTAATATCAGTCCATGATGAATACAAACTTGACATCACTAAACATTGAATAGACAGTGGTATAACTTAGGAAATCGTTTTCTTTTGTCACCGACAACAACAACAACTCTACATCTAATTCCATGTACTGAATACTGGTAATGTTTTGAATAAAATGGTCAAAAGACTCTTGTGTTTCTTAGGTATATTTTTCGCCTGACAGCCATTTCTCCCAGCCAAACATTATCATTGTTAGAGCATAAACATAGTTCAGCAAGGGCATCAAGAAATGAGCCACACAACATTATGAAGACGGGAACCAAAGGGAAGTAGATAAGTAAGAAAGAAAAACAATCACAATACCATGATTGGAAGCGTGGTACAGTAATATATATTCGAAACGAAACATTGATTAATTCTCAGTAACACAAGATGAAAAGGAAGCTAAACCATGACCACCACTTGTTTCGGTTCTCAGCCATATCTCATAACGTTTCAAGTCACTGAGTTGCCTGATCTCTCCGACCCCAAACCAGGAAGTCCTGATGCACAAACAGATGCTAACCCGATACAACTATTCTTTATCCCACGGCGCCACGTCATACACTCACTACCTCTCTACTTTTTCCATCCAGTCCCAGGGGTAGCAAAACAATGAACGGTGAGGAAGCCACGGGGACGACATACGTAACACACGTCCAAGTCACTGAAGCCGGTGTTTTTAGATGACTTCACTTATTCAATGACGATCTTTATCATGCCCAAACACATGCTATTGTACCTCACAATTACTTACATGGTGTTGGTGCCACCAGACACCAGTAATCCTACAGAGGCAACGGGTGATCGAACACACAGAGTCATCGCATATCCTCAGCTCGGAGAGGCCAGATTTCACAGGTGTGCAGCAGAACTGATAGCACCGAAGCTTTGTAAACCTGACCTTTTACGATCAGACTAGTGTCAAAACGGCGCCAAAGGTGGCTCTCGATATGCGATTGAAAATTTCATCACTCACACAACTACTCAGGTACACGAACAACTTTTCGACTACTTCCAACAGCTCACCACCAAGGGAGAGCGCAAACACAGGCTGTTAATAATCTTGCAAAAGTACTTTGCACTTCATTAGTACAAAGCACATACCATACTTGTAGACACTAGACACTAACCAAACATTAGAGGACAGAGGACTGACAATGAATCTACTAAGTATTCAGATAAAATGTCAAATGATGTCGACCAAAAGTGATATAATTGTGTGAGTAGGCGATGTCCCTTAAAGGCTTTTCACTGAATATATATATATATATATATATATATATATATATATATATATATATGGACAAAAAGTTTACAAAATTCAATTTACGTAATGTTGTTAAACATTTAAGACATGTCAGCAAGCTTTTTTGTAATTTGATTCGACGCCAATTTAAGTCGCACCGATGAACGTCCAGAAAGAGGTCCAATAGAAGTGAAACCGCACCATTGGTAATTGCACGTTCATTATTAGGTCCTATGTCAAGGTGAGGAAAAAAAATACATGACAAAGTAGAAGAGAAATTATAACATGAACGGAACATTTGATTAAATGTGTCATTTTTTAAATAGCATAGAAGTAACTTACAAACTACTACTTAAATCATATCTAATAAGTAGACATCTAGGGTTCATTTTAAATGTAAACATTAATGCTATTGTGCTGTAGTCTATTTGGTGGCTAGCAATGGAAACCAAAATGCATGTTTCGTCCTAGATGTATCGTCAGCTAGATGTATCTGCACCCCACAGATACTTGAACCTAGCATAGTAACAGGAAATCACAAGTATCAATCAGCACCAACTTGTACCCATTGTACAAAAGGTGGCTTTCATGCCTCAGATACCTAGTGATGACACTTCAAAGTTAGGAACGATGGTCATGAGGTTAGAGGCTGAGTAGGAACAACATTATTCACTGGCGTGAAGGCGTATCCGGCTGAATTGGTCCCGAATAGGGGGAATGAGCGTTACGAGTTCCACTGCTAGCCAACAAGCGGACGTCAACATAGTCAGTAATTGAGCAGCATAAAGACATCCGGCTGGATGCCAATAGAGGTCGAACTCTCCGACCAGTATAGGGATGGAAAATTACAAGTTTCAATAAACAACTAATGGCATTATTTTGAACGAGTTTATGCAGCATTCAGTGAATATCCGATAAAGGATCAAAAAATAATTTCATACTTCAGAACAGTTGAGGTGTGTAACATTTCTTAATACTGTTTACTATATTACTCATAAGTAACTGCAATTTTTAAGCAGTTTCTCTACTGCTTTTATTTTATTGATCGGAGCTAAGTTGGCACTGCGTCAAATCAAAACCGGTCATTGTCATCCTGTACTAATTGTTAGTTAAACATTGTTTGCTGTTATATCATTTCGAGTGCTGGTGAAAAAATTCTCACAGATTAATTATGTATTAATGATGCGTAGTGGCTAGTAGTGGAATCCAGGATGCGCTTTTCATCCTATTTGGGACTCGTCAACTGGGTGTACACCTGCCTCCCGGTGAGTGATGTTGCTCCCACCAGGATTCGGACTCTAAAGCGACCGCTTCAAACTCCAGAGCGTTATCACTACACCATCGAGTAATACATCACAAGCAATAACAAAATAAACATCCGTCAATAACTAATGGGTTAATACGTAGTATGCATAGTGTAATAAGAAGATGGAGGTTATGTGAGAAATGTGTGATGTATTCATGCAATACATTTCAAACAACCCGATCATACACATCCTAACTTCCCAAACCATTTTCTAATGAAGGATGAAATAAGGTGGAGTGGGGTAAAATAAACAAATTAAGATAATACAATATTTGGAAAATATGGGGAGATAATAAGCAGGAATAATACAATTTTCACACCTCCCTTAGTTCTAATATGAGATAAAGATTACCAAGGTAAAAGCAAACTGTTTTTGAATACAAAAGCAAGGGTTGAAACTTTCATATAGCTAAGGCGTCAATGAACCTAAGTGTACAGTCTTGACGTCTGCTATACAATGGTCTAAAGGCTGTTTTGAGGTCTGTTTCTATTATGTGTTCCCCTATCGACGATGACGTCTATCTGCCCTCTGTATCTATCGGATTATTTAGATGTAATTATTTACCTGACCATTTAGGGATATGCTCTACCACCCTGGACTCCACAGTTCGATTACTCTTCCTCCCAGTGTGTGTTGTCGTCGCGCACACACACACACACACACACACACACACACGTAAATTGGTACACATAATAGGATATGACGTGATCATCTATGTGGTGATGAGGTTTCATTTGCAGCATAGGTTTCGTTTTCCCTATAATATTGGGCTTGGCTGGGTAGTGGTTTTTAGATAACTGAATTAAACCTTCGTGTTACGAGCATACTGTTTGATTGTGTGATGTAAACATCCTTTTTCGGGACAGAATACTGATTAGTTCGCACTGTTGAGATGATTTCCTAACGGTTGATGAACTTCAGAGGATATGTGTTTTCCATGAGTGTCTCTGTTAAAATCTAGAAGGGATTATGGGTCGATAAAACGATCAATGTATAGAAAACCTACGTGGTCTGGACAGTACCTTAACTTTCATAGTTTCTGTCCAATTCAGCACAAACGAGGTTTGGTAAAATGCTTATTCAAAAAAACTCAACTCATCTTCACAATAGATACATTGGAAGAAGAATTCAAATTTTCAACGTAGACACTCATGGAAAACACATATCCTCTGAAGTTCATCAACCGTTAGGAAATCATCTCAACAGTGCGAACTAATCAGTATTCTGTCCCGAAAAAGGATGTTTACATCACACAATCAAACAGTATGCTCGTAACACGAAGGTTTAATTCAGTTATCTAAAAACCACTACCCAGCCAAGCCCAATATTATAGGGAAAACGAAACCTATGCTGCAAATGAAACCTCATCACCACATAGATGATCACGTCATATCCTATTATGTGTACCAATTTACGTGTGTGTGTGTGTGTGTGTGTGTGTGTGTGTGTGCGCGACGACAACACACACTGGGAGGAAGAGTAATCGAACTGTGGAGTCCAGGGTGGTAGAGCATATCCCTAAATGGTCAGGTAAATAATTACATCTAAATAATCCGATAGATACAGAGGGCAGATAGACGTCATCGTCGATAGGGGAACACATAATAGAAACAGACCTCAAAACAGCCTTTAGACCATTGTACAGCAGACGTCAAGACTGTACACTTAGGTTCATTGACGCCTTAGCTATATGAAAGTTTCAACCCTTGCTTTTGTATTCAAAAACAGTTTGCTTTTACCTTGGTAATCTTTATCTCATATTAGAACTAAGGGAGGTGTGAAAATTGTATTATTCCTGCTTATTATCTCCCCATATTTTCCAAATATTGTATTATCTTAATTTGTTTATTTTACCCCACTCCACCTTATTTCATCCTTCATTAGAAAATGGTTTGGGAAGTTAGGATGTGTATGATCGGGTTGTTTGAAATGTATTGCATGAATACATCACACATTTCTCACATAACCTCCATCTTCTTATTACACTATGGAAATTCATCAAAGGGAATAATTGTTTCCAATATATAACTATTAAAAACGATCAGTAAAGTCACAAGATGATAACGGCTAGAAGATCAAATCAAGATCATCAACAATTCTTTATAAGATTATGGTAAATAATCACAAAAATGAATAAACTGTCAAAGGGAGAATACGATTAATGTAAAATTAGAGGTTTGAATGTATCTTTTTCGGACACAAAAACAGGCTTATAGTGCTAAATTGCCAAAGTTTCTGGTGTATTTAGGTGGCAAATACACGTTCGCTTTGAAATGTTTGGCTTCATACTACAAATTACTTTGAAAGACAACTCTTGTGAAACAAAATGGTCTGAGATAATCAAATACTCAAAAATCGAGCTGTTAACGGCTTTACACTGTCTTTTAAACAGCCATGCAGGATAGTGTTCGGACATGGTTTGTGCAGTCTATGTAACCAGCTCCACAAGAGCAAGTGAATTGGTAAACATACATAGAAGTGATCCAAAGAGGTAGTTTATCCTTTAAACACCGTCGAATCAGTTGTTGACTGAAGAAAACAATCCGAAGTTGAGCGGGAAAGAAGGTTCTAATTCAGGGCTTTACACAATCCATTCCCCAGTACCTCTGTCAATGTGTTTCCTTTGAATCCAATATTCATAAACAGGGCCTTTCTAGGTACCATAGCGACTTCTGCTTTGAAAATCTTACGCCTTATACTCCTCTCAGTCAATCATGAAGGATAAACATTCTTGATCAACACTCTTTGAAGTACTTCCAGGTCGTCATTTACTGCATCATCCGTACAAACTCTTCTAATTCGTACACACAGTGAATGAATTAGATTTCTTTTCCTGGTTAGTGAAACTCAGCTTTAGAAATGAGCATATTGACCATTCCGTATTTATCTTGTATAGATCGATCTCCTTAGGGAAGCATCATGCCTTCTTCTGAATAGAAGGTCCAAGAAGTGGAATTCTGAGTTATTTCCAGTTTCCATGGTAAATTTAATTGACTTGTGACATTCGCTGAATTTTCGTAGCATTTATTTAAGGTTACAATACTGTTCATGGGTGATGAAAGTGTCATCAGTATATCTACTATATAAATGGAACTCCCTGGAGTGGAACACAAAAAGGGGAAACGACGAGTTGGAAGTCTAAGGCGAGGGTGACATGGAGGAAATCGTGTAAGGAAGAAATGAAAGGTTCTAGGCAATCGTAGAGCCAGGTTCAAAAGACTGTGGAGAAGAGAGTGCAATAGCGACGTGCTGCTGAAGCCCTATGTTTCACTAGAAACCAAAGGGACAAATAATAATAAATGGAACTGGTCGATCAACGGACGTAGTTTACTGCTCTCCAGATTGGCCACGAAGCGATCAGCTAGGAGAGGACCCAGTTGTGAACCCATTGCTACCCCAACCGTTTGTCGATAAAGTTTATTATTGAGTGTATATTGTATATCCAAAGGTACATTGTTAGAGTAGTTCCTTCAGATAATGTTTAGGAATCCAAATTTCTAGCTTACCACACACACACTGACACCTCTTATGCAGTTAGCGAAGTCGAAGAAGTCAAGAGTACTAAAATTAGTGATCTGACTCTTCACTGGCTGAACGATTTCAGTTAACCATTGTTCATGTCAACGACTAGACGAAGGGAAACATCTTTCTTATGAACTTTGGCAAGACAATAAAGTTGAGGAATTACTGAAGAAGATGGTTTGAAGATAACGGCTAGTCAAAACATTCAAGCTTTATGTGTCAAAGAGTGAATATATACGCACCATTCCGATCGATTTCCAGCCATGTCAACAAAGCGTCATCAACCGCTGATTTTCTTCGTCTCGATGACCTCTACTGGCAGTCTGTACCTATGCACACGGCTCTATTGAAAGAATCTACATGAGATTCGACAGACTTTCCTCCCCTCATTTCAAGAGGCTTCGGAGAGAAAAGGAAAGGCTATATTAGACGAGAGACCACCCTGGTGTTAAAGAACTTAAATGCCTAATTAAGTCTGAAATATAACATCTGAATACTATTTACAACCAGAAGTTCCTATCGTGTAAGAACTCTTCTAAACAAGTCATTCATTTGTCAGCAAGCTGATTTCACCCTTCCTAATGTCAGAAGTCAAATGGACAGCTACTTTCCTGGTTTTAATACAAATAAGGCATTTAAATGTCTTAAATCCTTGAATCTATCCCGAAGCTTAGTTCCTGATGGTGTTTCGAGTATTACATCTAAAAAATGTGCAGATATTTTATCTTATCCCCTTACAGATATCTTCAATGTATAGTTCTGTAAAAAAATAATACACGTTGCTTGAAAGGAGATCTAAATTGTACTTGTGCCTGAGTCATCTTCTAGATCAGATGTCACCTTTCTAACCATCGCTATAACTTCCTCTTTTCTTGAAGACAATGGAGAAATCCCATCTCCTTGTGATTGAGACTTCATCGGTGGTTGTCAGAGATCCAAAACAGTTTGCTTACAAGCACAAGAGAAGTACTTTAGAAGCTGTCACTGTCTTGTACCATAATATTGTTTATAGTCTAGACAAAGGTGTTAGGTATGTTCATAGTGGCTTTTTGGATTAAGCATCAGCCTTTGACCCTGTTCCTAGACCACTCTTGTTAAATAAGGTTGCCATAGCTCATACGGAGCCATGGGTTAAAAAGTGGCTATATTTTTATTTTCTGAAAGGAAACGGTATACTGTATACGAAGGGATGCGCTCCACATCATTGTTTACTGAAGCTGACGTGCTTCAACGTACTGTACTCTCCCCTTTCCTGTTCTGGTTCTTTCTGCACGATTTACCTCATTCTGTTGAAATTTATTTTATTAAGTATGCTGATGACCTGATGGTTTCTGTTCCAGTCAACTCTCTCACTCAAATGGATTCCTGTATGTAATTGACCAATGGTCTCTCTTAAATGATCTCAAGTTAAACCCTTCTGAATATCACACTGTTAATTTCAGACTGAGGTGTAAACAAGACGGACTAGTGTGAGATGCTCAAGTCTCATGACACCTGTTGCATTGATGGTGTATTTCTGTAGAAAGTGAATCGAGTGTTATCTATCTTGAATTGAGTTTCACTTCAGATCTTTCTTTGTCGTCTCATATCTTGTTGACTTGTGAAAAAATTTTTCGTTTAACATAAGAAACTGAGGTTCTCTGGTATAACTGAATGCCTCTACTTTTACAATTTATTAATTCCTACATTTTACCTATTCTTCTCTATTGTTCCCCATTGATCTCTCCTGGTCTACCACTAAACAACGACTATGTGTTATATTGCGTAGGGCTGGGAAAGCCGTCAGTGAGTAGGGTGAGTGGTGTGTCTCTGACCCAAGTGATTAACACTGTAGTTGATAAACATTTAAATTGTCGCAGTCGACTAGCTACACTACACTAATTTTAACTGACAGTCAGCGTCCACTTCATTCACAGCTCTCTTCATGTATCTCCTGAGGAGGGACAAGGAGAAACTACTTAAGACTGTACGCTTGTACAGCTAAGTATAAGAATTCTACTAAACCTCACCTAACAGGCATATTATGTGAGGAAAGGAGAGGGGTGTTCGAAGGGAACTCACATATCAACTTGTAACGGTTAACAATCTCACTTCAAAAAATTAGCTAAAAATGTAAAATGTTCTCGTTTTTAATATTCTTTACATTACTTAAATTCTTGTAATAACACTAATCGAAATGTTGTAAAGGAGTATGTATACACACACACACATCTATTTTGTTGTTGTTGTTGTAATATATCATGCTGAGAATTCCAAATCGTACCAAAAAATGTTTGGAATAAAGTAAATTATTATTATATATTTACTCATGAATATAGCTGTGAGTATCTTCAACGTTTCAGGCATTGAAACACATGTTCAGTTGTAGCTTGCTGACTTAGAGTTGCCAGAAGAAACGGTTCCATTAGGCGAGGACTCTAGCTGTGTTCTCCATTTTTTTTAACATAGAGATTTTTATCAGGCCATGAGTTTGTTGCTATTTCATCTAGGAGAAAGAAGGCTCTGCTTAACTCGAAGTAGAGTTTTAATTCACAATTGGAAAACATCATAATCCTTGTGGTGTAAGAGCATTGAGAGATCAACTCTTATGATAAATTAAAGTAGAGAAAAGGAATATATTTCTAGGCTTCAAATAGTTGTCATTAGACATTTTAGGTCGGAATTGATCATGGACTGACATCAGTCGGAGGAAGATTAGAAACATGGGAGCACTGGACAGCTGTTTCTTCCTGGTATGGGACTCTTCAGCAGTGCGCACCCATAACCCCGCACTGCCCCGCCAGGGGTCGAACCCACGACCCTCAGGTTCCGTGGCCATCACGTTACCATTGACCCATTGGGTCGTAATCCAATCGTCCACAATTCCTACTTCTGTCAGTTCATCATATAATACGATCTCCATCCAATATCGTCGTTGAGTAACTGTACTCATGTTCGACTTGTTTGACTCCATCCACTGGTCACGATTTCAAACTGGAACTTCAGGAATCACCCCTCTCGAAGCTAGTTCTAGAGGTTTATTATTGATTACAATTTGTTAAATTTGACGTAGTTTTCATTATGCATTGAAATCAACTGAAGAACTGACGAAAACTTTGGAGCATTGAACAGCCAGTTGGTCTTAATTTTGGTATTCTTTAATAGTGTATCCTATACAATCCAGCTGAAGAGTCCAGAACCATGACGAAACAGCCCTTCACTACTGTCAACTGATATTAGTTCATCCTTTGCAAAATTAATCTTGAAATAATTCCTAGTTACTTTTCTTAGTGGTACCTAGCAGTGGAATCCAAGGTTAAGGTTAACTCATTAGCTGAATGTACCTGTACAAGTATCTATAAATTCCTAGGTATCTAATAAACTCAATAAACAATAATAACTAATATCTGTAGCACAAGTCGTATCGATCGTGGCCTAGCGGGTAACAATTTGGTGTTTGAAGCTATGGGTACTGGGCTTCAGTCTCGGTGGGGGTATCATCCCTCACTGAAATGTATGAACAGCCACCTGATGAGTCATACCCAAATAAGGTGAAATGTGAATCCTATATTCCACTGTTAATCAATTCAAATAACAGATATTGATCACTTTTCTATTTTTTTATGCTCAGAAGTATTATAAGACAATAAATGATATGTGACTAAGAAGAATTCTTTGTCATTGTGAACATGAACCATGATATAAACACTTCTTTAACCTGTATCATCAAAGCTTATGATCTTTGAGTGGTCAATGAAATGAGTAAAATCATTTGATGACTTCTTTCCAAGTACATTATAGTATCATTTAAATTACAAATAAAGGGGACGTCTATTTCTGTTGGTAAAGTATGTGTAACCTTATTATCAATCATATTGTCCTAAGTAGACAAACTTTTCGACCTTTATAACTCTAACTACCTTTATCAATTCACATAAATATATGGCAAGAAGTTTTACAACCAAGAAATTTTCTCAGGTGTTTCGTGATCTAAACAACCCATGAAACTTTATACATTGAATGTTCAATAACAGAATTTAAATTCTTAGCGATAGGTGTTAAATACAGCTGAAGGTCATTCAAGGACGAAAACAGGTTTCACTTCTGCAGATGTTTATACACACATATATATATCTACGTATGCATATAATTTATCATTAACTGATATCCTTTTCTCTGATTGGTCACATGAGTGTGTCCTAGATGTACACACATCTGATAGGCTGAAATCTTATTGGTTATTTACGGTTATGCATTAAATTTTACTCAAATATATAACAAATATACTTACTGCATTTTATCAAGCAATGCAATGTATTCACGAGTAATCGCAATAAGGTAGCATTATGCTTCACACCTGTAGCAATTAATGTTGGTGTTGCTGAAAGTAACGATGTAGCAGAATTAATCAAATCAGAAGTATGTTGTGAATTAATTTTACAGTCTAAATTATTAGTGATAATTGAAGTTGACTTCACATTTTGAAAGGATGATAATGATGCTTCTGTTTTCTGTTGTTGAAAACGCTGGACATATGCTGCAGCCGATGCAACAGCAGTAACAGCAGCTATAACTGGACTACCGATAATTAATCCATTCTTATTAACTTCAGATATTCCTAAAGTAGCTGATTCATTCGAATCGAGATTGTTAGAACTATTAATTGGTGGTGTTGATAGTTGATAGTTATTGTCTTGATAATTATCCCCATTCATTGAATCATTGAATACTGTCATGGAATGATCATTAATAGGTGAGACAAGCTCAGATGAATTCTGACCAATCAAATTGGACTTGTTGTTATTAGCTACCGAAGTTGTTGACGTAATTGTATTCAAGTTACCGGTTAGTTTACACTGATTGTATGATGATGATAATGTAGACGAGGTTACATCTAGTAATGTCTTGAATATGTCTAGACCAGATATAAGCGAAATTAACCGAACTATAAGGCTAATAGCTCCAGAACGTCCTAATATAGACGAATTATTCTTTCCGTTGTTTGATACATACAAACGAAGAATACGCAAGATGATATTAAGACTTCGACGAACACCTGATGAAACTGTTGGCGCTGATGTTGAATGAGTGTTGCTCATTACATTGTACATTACATCAGTCTGTAAAGGATTACTTTGAAGAAATCCAAGATTAGTAGACGTAGGAATGATAGAGATGCCATTCATAGTAGTATGCGTAGGATTTGTCCCCGCTGAAGTGGATAATGTATTTATACAAGTTGAATTTGATGAATTCAATATGGCAACCTATAAAGGTCAAAGAGTAAATTATATTTTTTTAAAAGGGAACACGATACAAACTTGAAGGCCTTTGACAGCGTCGACCGACAAGTAATTTGGAAGCTGCTTCAACACTACGGTTTTAGTCCCACAAACCTTTATCAACCTCATTCAACAGCTGTATGAAGACACCATATGCCAAATGATTCACAATGGAAAAGCTCAGTGATGCCTTTGAAGTGAAGACAGGAGTGAGACAAGGCTGTCTACTATCACCGATGACCTTCCTCATTGTGGTCGAGTGGATCATGCAACAAACTGTGAGGAGCGAGAAGAGGGGATACGCTGGCTGGACCGATGAAACGACCATAGAAGATTCAGATTTCGCCTATGATGATCTATGTCTAACGTCGCACAAACTCAAAGATATACAGGCGGGAACTAGCAAGCCGACAGATAAGGCAGGGCAGGGAAGATGGGACTTCAAGTGAATGCGGAGAAGATAAGGGTGATGAAGATACCCAACCAACAACAAGCACCATCAACGGGAGAAACCTAAAGGAAGTAGCCTCTTTCACCTACCTAGGCAGCATCGTTTCAACTACAGGCGGCACGGGCACAGATGAGTATGTCAAAACCAGGATAGGAAAGACAGGCATTCATCAACCTGAAATCAGTGTGGAGATGTACTGCACTCAGCATAGAGAAGAAAATCCGTATTTTCAACACTAAGTCAGTCAAATCAAAGCTTCTATATGCGCTTCCGAGACTAGGTGCGTTACGAAAAGCGTTTGCAACAACATGAACAGCTGCCGCCTACGCTTACGCCTACTCGATACTGAAGATGAGGTGAGATGAGAAGGCGAGAAAGAATAAGCAACGATGAACTCTGGTCTGGCAAAGATACAACCAACAAATATGCGGAAGAAAGTAGATATGCATTGGGCATACACTGAGACCATTCGGGGACATCACGCGCCAAGCCTTCGAGTAGAAACGACAAGTTGAGCGTCCAAGGGTGACATGGAGGAGATCGTGTGAGGAAGAAATAAAAGGTTCTGGGCAGTCGTGGAGCCGGGTTCAAAAGACTGCAGAGAAGAGAGTGAAATGGCGACGTGCATCTGGAGCTCTATGTTCCACTAGGGACCCAAAGAATAAATAATATAATAATAATAATAATAATAATAATAATAATAATAATACAAACCTGAAATTCTGTAGGTAATCGAAGTATTTTATAAGGGAAGTGAGATGAAATGCCAGATGGACAAAATCAACGTAGAACCTCGCAAACAAGTGCATCATCTCAAGTTATTGTGATCAGCCCTTTTGTCTAACAAAAGCTCGAGTGACTACTTTCCACATATCGAATTTATGAAGCAAAGAGAGATGCCCGTCTGTCAAACTCAACTTCTCAACCACTGATTCCTATGGTCTCGGTGGCACCAACCAGGCAGTCTACATCTCGTTACACAGCTCACATCAACACTCAGCAACTTCATGGATTGGTGTCACGTCTTAGTCTAGTCACCCTGAGCCTTGTTGTTACCTAATCCAACTTCCCCCAGTAATGCACATCGAGGTACACGGTGGTTCAACATATGCAGTTCATGTTCAAGCCATCTCAGTTGATGAAAATTCACAACTTCATCAATCAACTTGCTTATCTTGACTAGTACCATTTGCCTGACTTCAACATTGCTCACACAGTGATTCCACCATGCGCCAGCAATGCTAGGAAGACACCTTTGATTAAAACCTTGTAGCTGTTTCATGTTTTCTTCTACTTAAAACAGTAATGTCTTACAGCCGTACAACAGAATAGAACAAACTAACTGCTTGTTCTAGTATAGTCTTGAATTTGACAAACCAAATATCAAGTATGTATGAATATGGTTAGTATGGTGTAGTAATAATTATTAGTATACGTTATAAGTCAGTAGCTGATATCAAATAATTAATAGTAGTTTTAATTCCAAAATAGGAACCATACTATTAAATAAAAATCAGTAATATTGATCAAAATGAGAACAACTCATACTTTCAATACGCTCTGAATGTAATTTATTTAATTGTGACAGATAGAGTAATCAAAGAGGTGGGTTTCGGTTACTCAACTTGCCACTTATCAGTTGAATGTACTCGTATCCCAGTGAAAAATGGTGTTTTCACTATAAGTCGAACATAATGATCATCATAACTCTTTATTGATGTACTCTGCTGTTTTACTGCATCAAATTGTTCGACTTCTATTGTTATATGAGCTCATCTTGCGGATGCCTCGATGTTGCCTGGATGTTAACTACGGTAATTTACTTGTTATGGCTAGCAGAAGAATCCAGGACGCACATTTCGTCTTACTTGGGACTCGTCAGCTGGATGTACATACACCCAGGTAAGTGAAGTTGTCCCCATTGTCACCCGAACTTCACACCTGTCGCTTCAAACGCCGCAGCGTGATCCACTAGGCCACTGAGACAATGTAGAGGTGTCAGCATAGGAACCTATATGCCAACAGAGGTCAGATAGTTCGACTCAGCAAAACAACGAAGAATCACAAGTACATCAACAAGAAGTTAACTGATACCCGTTGTACAAGATGTGGCTATCGTGCCTCAGTGGTTTAGTAGATAACGCTGAGGCGTTGGAAGCGACGAGTACGAAGTTCGAGTCTCAATGGGGACAACACTTACTGGGGTGTAGGTACATCCAGCTGACGAGTCCCAAGTAGGACGAAGCGTGCGTCCTGGATTCCCTTGCTAGCCACAACCAAGTAAGTTATCATAATGGTCGTCACTTCCAGATACGCTTAGTGAATCATTTCAAAAAAGTCTTGAGATTAACAACACTCTTTTATTATAGGTTGAAGAAGCATTGAAAATCTAGAGGCACTGGACAGACGTTTCATCCCGGTTTTCAACTCCTCTGTAGTGACCAGAGGGAACAAGGCTAGAACCATCACTTGTTACGGAGGGCACACTAGTACTATAACTCAACAATGAGTAGTTGTTAGGATAGTCATCTCATGACAACTTTGAATCCTTCCTACAGACTACTTTGGTTAACATATTGACCCTAATACTATTCAGTCAAAACAATAGAATTTATTAGTTGGCTCACCTTAGATAGTCAGTGAGGTAATGGAAATTGTGTTCTCTGAATTGTATGATTTAATCGTGAAGCTTTCATTGTCATTCTAGACAACATAATCAGTGCAAACTTCAGAAAGAAGTAATCTATGATATTATATCCACAAGTGGCTTAGTAACTTCTCCTGATAACCTTTGGTGTGACTGGTTATTACTGCTACAATCTTGTCATAGCTTCCATACATATTTCCGTTGGCTATCCTATGATCTGAACTTTGACCTTCCTGTTATTTTCCGCGTTTCTTATTGGTTAATAGGATGGGTCAGTGTCAATATGTCTGTTAATCACTGATTGATTTGAATGCCAAGCTTCTTTAAAAAGCCTCTGACAGTCTTTGTAGTTCCTCTATGCAAAATGTCCACATGTTCCACGTTCAACTCATATCCACAACTTTCCATATGTATCGATATGAGCGAAGATATATCATAGTATTTTAATGCTAGTTGATGTTCATCTACATGGACATGAACATGCCAACTAATATAATGTTTTTCACAGTTTCTGCAGTTTATTTTGTAGATAACGTCTGGTTTGAGTTCCTTTGTTATTATATCAACAAACAACACCAAAAGAGTTAGAGTTCACATGTGAACAACAGCCAATGGAAATACGTATGCACATAATGACAAAACTACAGCAGAAACAACCAATCACACTCAAGGTCACCAGAAAAACAAATCTCATAGCTTACTTTTTTTCTGAAGTCTGTACTGATTATGTTGTCTAGAATGACACAGAAAGTTTCACGATTGAATCATCTAGCTAAGATAACACAATACCACTAATAATCCCATTAAGATACATAGTACTATTAAAATTCATGAACCAGGTTATCCCAATAGACCTATAGTAGACTTTAGAAACACTCCTACTTATGACTTGTCTAGATACTTAGCAATTGTACTAGGTTCAACTAGAAACTATTCTAAATCAAGACTTACTAACTTTTATGAATTGAAGCATAGATTAGATGACGATGTAAAAATGGTTAGTTTTGATATAGTCACTTTGTATACTAAAGGTAACGATTAGCATGGCTCTGGAAGCAGTTAGAAATGAGCTTAGTAATTACCATGAGTTTATACTATGAACTAAGCTGCTGGTAGATAATATCATGCTATAAGTACAGCTATGCCTAACTTCTACAATATTTGGGTTTCAGAATAAAATATACAAACAATCAGAAGGCGTTGCCATGGAATCACCAATATCCCCTATTTTGGCTGATATATCAATAGAAAGTTGGGAACGGATGGCTGTAGAAAAATTTAGTCTGTCACCTAAAGTATGGTTTCAATATGTAGACGATATGTTTACAGTGTTGAAATCAGAGCACACATATAACTTCTTTACATGTATAAATTCAGTAGCCAACGCGACAAATTAGAAAATAGTGAAGGGGAATTGGCGATGTTGGATTGCAGATAAAACGGAAACAAGATGGGAGTTTAGACGTACTAGTTGTTTACAGAAAACCTTCACATTCAAACCGTTACTTAGACTTTAAATCGACTCACTCTATGTTAGTTAAAGTTGGCTTAGTAAGTAACAGGGCCGAAAAACTTACTAGTAAAACAGGGAATCTAAGACAAGAAATCAGATACGTTAAAAAAAAACACCATACTCATCAACAATTACCCTTTCAAATTAATTGATAAGTTACTTAGGAACTGTAAGAAAAATATTGGTAACACATGCATTGACAGTAGTAGTAATAGTGGTAATAATAATGTTAATAATAGTAGCGGCAATAGTGTGAATAGATAATTCAAAACCTCCGCTGTATTACCATTCAAAGAACGCACCTGAGAAGAACTACGTAGGATTCTCAATATGGCTGCCTGGGATTAGAGTGGCATTTAAACCTACAAACTCACTTGGAAATAAGCTTTATAGGTCAAAAGATCCTGTTGACCCAATTAAGGAGAATAACTTCATTGACCAAATCCCTTGTAACAATGTGCGAGGTTCAAATAGTTGACCAGCCAGGGTCAATTAGGCTATCCAAACACAAAAACCTAGCTAGGTGGAAATTGGTAGGTCCTTGTAAGGTAAGGAGTTTGAAAAAAAGCTCAAACAAAGCTATTCGTACGATTACACACAACTACACAATAGGATGGGACAGGGTGAAAATTCTTAAAAACTAACATAACAGGGTGGAGGGAGAGATTGATAACTCAATCTTTGTTTATCGAATCAACACCTAACACATGCAGCAACAGAAATGACTCAGCACCTGTTCCAGATACGTGGAAAATCTTACTACCTATATCAAAAAGGGGATGAGGAAATTAGGACTATATAATGAAGGATATCTCAAAGTTGTGTGATGACTATGGATAAGAAAGTATGTGCGAAACGTAATCCAGTAAACAATACTATTTCTTCACAGTGTGATAAATCTAATAAACCAATAAAAATGGAATAATTTACGGTTATCATACATCATGAATCATTACTAAATATCGAATTGATCAAAATTAGGTGCCAATGATTATCTGTTTAGTCCTTCTCTGGAAATCTTTAGCGAGATGTACACACACACTAGGCGGATTCTGTGATGAAAATAAATACGCTACCACAGTAAACATATAACTTTTTGTATTTTTGAGATGAATGATGATTTTAATTTAGAAGTAGTATTCATCATGAACTGATATCAGTTGGGGAACCATTGAAAATCTGGGAGCACTGGCCAGCTGTTCCGTCCAACTAGTATGAGACTCCTCAGCAGTACGCATCCATGACCTGGCTAGGGATCGAACCTTGGAGCTTCAGGTTTCACGGCGAACGTGTTAACCATTCAACCCCTGGGATGATTCTCAGCGGTTCACAATTTCCAACATAGCGTGACTATCACCCAATGTCTTCAGTTGGCATCCGCTTCCCTTCCGACTGGTTGACCCCACAGGTCACGGCTTCTCATTAAAGCTTCCTGATATCCATCTGGAAGCAAGTCACTAATCAGCACTATACAGTAATATATTTTTGAGAAGAATGGGGATTTTAATTTAGAAGTAGTATTCATCATGGATGCTAACTGAAGACCTTGGGTGATAGTCATGCTATGTCGTGAATTGACAGAAGTTGGAAATTGTGAACCGCTGAGAACCACCCCAGTGGCTGAATGGCTAACACGTTCACCGTGAAACCTGAAGGTCCTAAGTTCGTTCCCAGCAGGGTCGTGGATGCGTACTGCTGAGGAGTCTCATACTAGCCGGACGAAACAGCTGTCCAGTGCTCTCAGATTTTTAATGGTTCCCTAACTGATATAACTTTTCAACATAAAGAAATATAATATGATTATGTGATAAGTTGACTCATTTCAAAAATGTAATTAATCGTAAAAGAAGTGAAATATACTGACTTGAACACGAAGTAGATGAATTGTGATTGGAATACAATGATTCACTCTTGCTCGAATACCAAAACGTTTATCCATAGGTCCCAAACGACAAAGTAACTGAAATTAAACAATGAAAAATTAAAGTTTAATTTTAAAGTACATAAATTATTGGTTAAATGTTCAGTATTTTTGTATTATACATTTACTTTAAGAAAAATTGAATCTGAAATGATGAAGAATATTTATATCTAAGGTGGATGATGTTGGTTATGTTCTCTGAATTAGATGGTTTAAATTGTGAAGCACATCAAGTGAGAATGCACCAAGATGAAAGATAAACAAGGAGAAATCCTTCAAAAGTGATAGAAGGTTGTGATAAGATAACAAGAAGGAATAAGAAAATACTGAATTCAGTATGACAATTATGACAAAGATAACTTACAGTTCTAAGCCATATCCTCTAAGATGTGTAACCACTGGTCAGTTTCTGTTTTCATATGAATCATAACATAAAAGTGTACATTCCCTTACAAGGCTCAGATTAGCGGCCAACGATTTCATGCAATGATACGATATTTTAGTCTGATCACTTTTCATCTTTTTGCAGTTTAAACTTATTTCAGTCAACACCAAGGAAGACAATAACTAGGCTTACCCGGTAGAATTGTTGAAGAAGTAGAGTTTGAACATTTCAAAAAAACATAAAATTCTTCATACTCAATAGTAGGTGACAACATATAGATTTCAAAGTAAAAATCTTGACAACTAAGTTCTCAACCAGTGAACAAAAAGTGAGATAGGTATTCTTTTCTGTACCAATCCTGGAAAGAGAGACTACTCACTATTTGCTTGCTACTTTATGACGTAGTGAGCACTGTGAACCAACTTGGAATTATATGGTCAAGTTTAAGAAGTGAATATAAAAGTTATGATTAGGCTTTAGGTTGTGTAATCTGATAATAAAGTACACTCCATTATGAACTTCTTGCTCGTAAAACTGTCCAGATCCGGAAATGTAAGTACATACAGAATACCTCGAAATTGAGAAATAGTGGGAGACGATCTTACAAGGAATAATTTCCCGCTTAAATGCGATGAAATTTTTATCAGAACATTAATAGATTTAATTATTTCAATAGATTACCAGTGAGTTGTAGAGGAGAGAACTAAGCAGAAAACTTTGACCAGCCGAATTTAATTATAATTTACATCTATATTCGATGGCAATGAATGTCAACATATTAGTACATTGTTATCCGGAAAGTAACCTGAGGGATAGAAATAACATAAAAAGTGTTACTATATATGACAGTGTGCACGTCCATGCAGTAGGCAATAAGTCACACCTATTGTTTGAAGGTTAATGATACAATAGCTACCCAAAGCTCGATAAGTTGAGCAGAGCTCAAACCCGTGACCTGTTGGTTGAAAGCCACATCTCCATGACTAGGGTGATAAAATCCAGAAAAAAGAAAGTTGATATGTAACTTGAATCTTTGCCTACAAGCCAGATAAAGCCAAGAACACAAAGAATAAGTAAGCCTGTTTGTAAAACTGCATCTTATTGTATGGTTATATTATATGAGGATAAGAAGGAAAAAGAATTACCTGATGAATTTTCAACAGAACTTCTTCACTAGGAGTTACTTCAGAGTATTCTGTATAAAGAGCTTGAAATAGTGCTCTAGTAATCCCTTTCTGTACTAATATCATAGCCCGTGAGTGAAATCCTTGCCAAGTGAAAACATATTTCACATTAAAAGTAACCAAAAAGAAATTCAAAATTATACTGATGAAAACATTTATATCAGAAAATAATTATTAGTACTCATCAAAGTGAGTACGATTAGAAAAATGGGACTGGTTCTCACACATTTTTATGTTAACAAGTAAAAACGACTAGATTACTAAAAGATAACGAGTGGTTCTTTAATCCTAGTACAGGAAACTTGAGCAGTGACAACGTAGCTCATAGTAAACTAAATGAGAGAGACATCTGATGAACCACTGACAAAACATTTGCCAAAATCTCTAAACTCAATTCCTTTTCAAAGTTGAGGACACACATTGAGATATGAAACGAAGCTAATGCTTAGGAAGCTAAGGATACTTTAGTTTCCAGGCGTTTTCCAGTTGATTGTATCTCAGTAAAATTGAAGCTAAATTCAACTCGCTTAGTGACGATCAACAGGTGAATAAAACGAAATAACCACCACTGAATGATAAGATATCAAGTTATCTATCGCTTTTTCTTAAGTGAGTACTGGGAGTTTTTCAAATAAAAAACGATGTTATCTAACAGGAAAAATATTTTGATTATTATTGCCAGTGAATGAATTTGACTAAAAAACATTAACACCGCTAGTCGTTATCATGGATCTCTACTTTCAAGAAAACGTTATGGTGTATACTGATTATGAATAAACAGTTTCAACAGAATGAACAACTACATGAAAAAAGCTAATGAGACAAACTTCAATTGTGATACAACAATAGGAAAGAAATCATTATTAGTTTAATACTTGGTCAACTTTATTCTGTTTACTAAGAACTTCAAAAATCAATCGAAAACGGAAACTAAAACACCTTAACTGATTATATTGTGAAACAATTTCTAAATATGAACGTTATGCCCTTCATCAGTGAACCAGATACTCTGAAATCATTTCTTAATCACATGGTAACAGATTCAAATTGTGATAAAATTGACTAAGTTTGAAAGGATAAATGATACTGCTAACTCTTGGTTTACCTTAAATATGTAACGAAGTAACAAAGTATAGTCTGAAAATCATTTTCTGTTATTATCAATGCTGACTTACTGTTTTCTACTTATCCGCAAGTGTATCACTATATGCAGTCAAAAATTCCACCGGTACAAAGCAGTTTGTTAAAAAAGAAAATCTATTTTTAAACTTTTATCATCCAAAATGTTACCAGAAATGAAATGAAAATCATACCATTATCATAACTCTTGATTTTTACCATCCTTCAAACATTTTCAACAACCTAAGCACTATGCTCCACTATTTTAAACAAGCATTATCAGAAATATTTGAAGGTGTGTATTATTAAAATTTATCATCAGTCAATTACGACGATTGGTAGAAGCACATACATAAATTTACCACCCACTTATAAAGATAAATTTGGGGTAAGTGTCACCTACCAATTTTTGCAACTTCTACATTTTTAACAAGGAGAATTTAACCACTTAGCAGCTGATTTACAATTGTCTTTGTGCCTGCTACCTGTTAAAAAATGGAACTTATGAATCCATATAACGAGTAAATATACATATCACAGAAACTTGAACACAATCATAAAGTTTGCATTAAATCCCGTTTTCCACACTTTATCTGAGATACCTAAAGTATTCACATATATACTCGCTTCACTTGAGACAAACTGTTGACCTTGTTATCTTCGATTATTAGCTTTTATCAACACTTCATGCACTAAGTTGAAAAATGTTTAAGGCATAAAATACAAAAAGTCACATTCGTTCTGAGAAATGGAATAACAGCACTCAGAGATCTCAACAATATTTTGCTGTGAAATTCCCAAGTCACCCAATAAACACCAAATCTAGTGAATATACCTGTTACTCAAAGTAACGTCGTCATATTTTACACTAGAGTTATAGCTCTAAATGAACAGAAGGGGACATTAAAGTGACCGGATTATTAATTCCAACTTCCACAATAAACCAAATAGTTTCTGCAAACGTTAGTAAAGACAGAACATAAGTCCCTTTCATGCATAAATAAATTTGTCTCATGGGTGTCTAAGAAACTGCAATTTACTGTCAGACTATACGAGGGCTATTTAAAAAAAGAAACTTCAGTTACCTAAACTTAGAGACATATTTATACTAGATACTGTGTAACCAAGAAGTGACTGTTCTCCTATTCTTGCTTGCGACTTCTTTAAGTGCTCAGTTCATCCTGTGGTGCTTTTGGTAGCACAGAAACACAAGTTTATCACATAGACATCAGGATCGCCTCTTGGGAAAGCTGAAAAAACTACTACAGTTTAATGCTTAAAAACACTCCAGCAGCTTCCCTGCTAAAGTCATTAAACGCTGTGAAACACTAAGCATTAACTTTTAGATAGGTGGAAAACCGTTTCCATATATACATTCTTAGATAGAATACAGTTACTTTTATTCAACTAAGTCCCTTATTCCCTTGTTGAAGAGACAATATAGCGTATAATTGAATTGAAATAGAATAAGACACAACATTTCGTTCCATAAAATTTTGAATCTCACCTGACTTTCCTAGAAGTTTGAACAAGACGCAAACGATCTGAATCCTTAGGCTCCTGTCATTCAAAAACTTAAAAAATCAGTTATCTATTTTTCAGGATACCTGGAGGATATAAGCCAGGTTGCTAACATACACCTCATGCTCAATAAAAATTTTACGGCACTGATCTATAAACAGAATGTATATAAATGAATCGAAAGTAAAGATTGGTACTGCTGGAAGACAACAATGAATTAATTTTTTTAACACTGCTTCTCAGTGTTTCCAAATCTTCTTCCTTACACCTGACAGCATTTAAGTCCGAACAGTAACGGGCAATGGGAAGCATACAGCTTCCCAGCTTCTCCTCCATTATCAAGAACTTTACAAACAACTGGTTGACAGCATTTCGAAAGTTTGCCTCGACAACGACCTGATGCATTGAGCATCTAAAACAATGAGCACATCAAAAGTTTTCTCATCCTTTTCTATGCTCTCATTTGAGTGTCTTCCGTTTACCGCTTTCTTTCGTCGCTGCTGCATTTGCAGTTTTCTCCGAGGGAAGTACTTTTTTAACATGCGACGTCACCCAATATCCAATATATTTTAACGAGATAGTGTAAACCAATTGATTTCTTCGCGCTGGCTTCTAGGTCTTGCGGAACGGTTCCAGGTCTTTGGTAGATTCCAATGCAGTGGGTTTACCCACTCGACTGCTGTAGCTATGGTTAGCCCGACGGGCGGATAGGTGTTGTTTAGATTTGTAGGCAGTGTTCCAAAATCCAGTATCCAGTAATCATAATGCGAGCCAAGTAAACTGGTAGATTTTGATCTCTCGCGTCTACTTCCTAAGGCTTGGTTTAAGTTGTTCGGTTCACTCCTGTAGTGGACGGGTAAATCCCCTCTGCTTTCTTGCTTTTAGCTTCGGTGAGGTGGATGTTTTGTGGGTTAGTAAGTTGTAGTTTGTAGAGTGATTGGGGAGCTACGGGTTGCCGGGAAGTTTAGGGAACTGCCGTGACTCCTGTCTATGTAGGTACCTGAAAGAGAATAGTAAGGTAGTGGTAAAGGATGAAAAGAACTAAGAGAAAAGGATAATAAATGAAGGGGAAAGAGGAAAGGAACAAGAAAAAAATGAGGGGTCAAAGTGGAGAAATAGAAGAGAAAGAAAAGCATGTTGGAATCGCCCGAATGGTAAAGATAGCGTGCATCTATTTCCTAGAAAAGAATTAGTAGGTAATGTGGATGCATCGAGGAGAGGAATAGTGAGTTGTAGGTAGGATGGAGGTGAGAGTAGGCTAGTGAGGTTGGCGACTCTTCGAGTACGTCCATGGTAGACCATGTGAGGTGAAATAACTGTTTAGCCGTCTCCTGAGTGAGTTGGCTGAGGGGGCTATGACTGTATGTCACAGTATGGCATTACATGGAGCACATACTCTCAGGGAGAAAAACCTGGACCTGAGTACGGTATTGGCTCTCTGGTGTGCTATCTTAATGGGGTTTCCTCATGAAGACCGCTGTGTTGCAGGTAAGGTTGATATGTTTACCTGATGGACGATCTTGCAGCTCATAGGGTCACTCCTTTTCCTACGATAACCAAAGGTGAATAGGTCTAAGTCTTTCAGGATATGCCTTCCCTCTTAGCCCCACAACTGATTTTGTTGCAGTTCTTTGCATTTTTTCAAGGAGATTAGAGTCTCTCCTGAGTGTTGGAGGAGCCACCGTTTTGAAGCCCTCTGGATACGGCCGAACGTGTGATTTGAAAATAGTGAGGAAGAGTGAGGGAGTGAGGGCTCCAAGCTGTCTACGCAAAAAGTGTAGGATGGCATTCGCACTGGTTGTCATACCTTTTTAGTTGGAGCTGGTGTCCAAAGTGTTGGAGAAGTTGAGACCCAAATCTTTCTCCATGGACACTGGTGATAACACGGTCGCTCAACATGTACTGGAAGTCGGTCACACTCGCTTCATATTTACTGATTTCCATTACTTTGCACTTTTCCAGGTTGAAGCTCAAACCATTTTCCGCCGACCGAAGCTCGAGTTACTGCAATTCCTTTTGTAGTGCTGTACAGTCAACTTCTTCGTTTACCACCCCCCAAATTTTTATGTCGTCAGCGAAGAGGAGGGTGGGTGGGGATATCTTATCTGGCAGACCGTTGACAAACAGGAGGAACAGAAGCGGTCCTAGGATTGCTTCTTGGGGTACTCCTGACGTCGAGGGTCTCCACTCCGACCTTATTCTGTTTACTCTAGTGCAAAACTGCCTCCCTTCCGGGTACTACTTGAACCAAGAGGGTGGGGGTTCACTTATACCAGCTGACATGATCTTGTGAAGCAGTACTGTGGGTGGGACACTGTCAAATGCATTGGCTAGGTCGAGAAAAACAACATGTATCGGTTCTCTGTTATCCCAGCTTACTTTCCAGCTGTCCCAGGCGGTTAGTAAGCTGGTGGCACGTGAGCGACCACTCCGAAAACCATGCTGAGCAGTATGCACAGTGTTTTCCCTGTTGAGGAACTCCCAGATGGTGTCAACTACCAGGCTTTCCAACACTTTCGACACAATAGGGAGTAGAGCAATTGGCCTGTAGCTGCCAGGGCTTTTTCTGTCTCCTCCCTTGAAGATGGGTGATAAGATGGCTCTCTTCCGTTCTTTAGGGAGTTTGCATGACTGTATTGAGTGCTTAAAGAGGTTGCAGAGTGATTTCGCGAGCACCTCGGCGCGGTTTTTTAGAATCAGCGGTTTTAGATTGTCGCGGCCAGGGGACTAGCCTGGACGTAGCCTAGATAGTTTCTCGAACACTTTTTTCTCTGTGATTGAGATGAGACAGAGGTATTTATTATTTGTGACGTGGTCGGCGTGGATTTCGTGTCGGTGCTATGTTGGGCTTGGAAGGGTGAGTTCAAAAGCTCGGCAATCTCTAGACTGCCTAGCATACTCCCGTCATGGCCTGTGACAAGATTCACTCCCTTACTGGTCGACTTCCTTCTCGATATGAAGCGGCACAGGGTTTTGGGATTGCTTTGCAAACTCCGCACCAGGTATGTTTGATAGGAGAATCCGTCACTACGCACTATAATGTTACGGCGGTTGCCGATCCTTTTGTATTTCAAGAAGTCAGACTCCCTGGGTGATGTACGTCACTTGAACCAAGCCCGCCTTTTGCTCTGGATAAGCCTCTCCGTCCCACACTTTAACCATGAGGTTCTCACTGATTGTCTGTGTGTTACTTCTGGTACACTGTGACTGATGGTCCCAGCGATTTTCTTCACCTGCAACCGGTGTTCATCTATTGCGAGATGAGTCCAGTCTACCGGCCATGATGCATTCATGAGATAGTCCCTCATGGTCTCGTAGTTGGCCTTGCTGTGGCAAGGGAAGATGTTGGGCGTCTCCAGTTGCAGAGCCTCACTGGTTACCGTGATGAAGATTGTTACTGAGTGGTCACTGAGGCCAAGGTGGGGTTGGATGCAGACGTCCTCAATGAGAAGTTCATCGTTCGTTTTAAAGTGGTCAAGGCTCAACGCGTTTCCACCAGGTCCCTAGTGTGTGGCATCACCCACTTTCTCTGAGAGGTCGGCAGTCCTAATTGCATCCTTCAGCTTCTGACCGAGGGATCTGATGCCTCTCCCTTCCGTCTCAAAGAGGATGGATGGGGTGTTGAAGTTGCCGGCAATGATTGACGAATCGTAATTTGCGAAGGAAGTCGTTAAGATTGCCTCGATGACTATTTCCTTATATGTGGGGGAGCTGGTGGGAGACCGATATATGACTCCGAGCAGGTATTTGGTACAGTGGAGAGTGAAGTAGCACCATAGAGATTCTGGGAGCTGGGTTAAGGCTGTATCGCCAACCACCCTTGCCTTTAAACGGGAGTTTGCGTAGAGAGCCACTCCCCCTCCTGCTCTGTGCTCCCTGTCCCTGAGGGAGAGTTCCATGCCAGTAACATGCATCCCTTCGTCGCAGACGTCCGGTGAGAGCCAGTATTCGGTGATAAATATGGTGTCAGGGTGCTGACGTTCACTCAGTGTCCTTATCTCCGCTACTTTCCCTCTTAATCCCCTGACGTTGCCGTACATACATGTTAGTGTCCCCGTAGAGCTGGCATTGTTCCGTTTTTGTGTTTTGTTTTATACTAAGGTGGGGGCTGTGGCAGTGGTGGCTTCCTTACTTGATGTATCTAACTCACTGGTCAGAGCCTGTGTGACGACCGCTGACTCCAGAGGTCCTGGTGGTTGCCGTCTCTCCTCCTGCCTTGTGGGTGTAGGCTTACTTTCATACATACGCATTGAGCCACCCGTGCGATCTTTCGCATTATACCACACGTGTAGCACGTCTGTGAGGGAAGCACGTAAGTCTAATCGGATGGCGAGTAGTCTGGGAGTGGGGACGGACTTCATGTGCGCCGTGCCAGGCAGTCTACTGGAGCTGTTGGCCGGTATACTGTCAAGACCAACTTTGGTTGAGATCCATTGCCATTGTTGGACGTCGTGAAAGTACGGATCTTTAACCGAGCGGTCACTTGGCAATTCTGGAATCCCATGTACCACCATAGTGTTGTTTCTGTTGGGATTTCCAACCGCTGACTTTCTCTCCTCCTCTCTTATTGACCATGGCTTGTCGGGCCTGGCCCGAATTTTACAGGCATTAGCAACGTCCGGTTCTCGCGAGAGAAAGAGGGTGTCTTCAGCCTCTTTGGCAGTATTGAGGAACACACGTAAAGGGAGTGGCTTATCTCGGGGTGCACGGCTTCCTCGAGAAAGGCGACACAAAGTTGCAGGGAGGTGGGGGAGTCCCAGCGTCTGACAGTAGTCGGTCCACATTCGCCTATCAAACCGTTTCCTCTCGATCAGCTATGATTCTGCCGGTGCATCAACGTTGGACAAGATGATTGAGGTAATCCTTCTGTGGCTTGCGTTCCTTGTGGGTGGCGCCTAACTTCCCAGTGGGTTTGCTGTGCGTTTCTACTGGTCGTTTCTCAGTCACAGGGTGTGGAATGTTTGGGTGGGTTTTGCTGGGAGTCTAACGGACGGTGTCTTTGGCCATGCGCTTGACGTTCCCTAAGGCCGGGTAGGAGGCACGGAGACTTGACCCAGTGTGGTCCACACGCGAGGTGGCGTGCCCGCAGCTGGAGCTCTGGGTCTGTTTCCAGGTCCCTCTGTGTTATCCTTTGGCGTTAACCCTACTTTATTCGAGGATACTGGTAGCTTTTGCGTGGTGGAGAGCATCTTCTTCAGACTTTCTGTGCGGAGTGCGGGCATTTTCACGCACTCTGGACAGATGTACCAGAACCACTCGCATGGTTGTCTCTTCATCAGCTTATAGTATTGTCGGGGGACTTTGGTGTCTTGGTGGCAATGCGCCCATCGGTGACATAGGTTGCATGCAAATGCCTCATCGACTACCGAAACAACTTTAATGCAAACACT